AGTCAGTTGGCAGTTGTTTGTGAGTTTGTATGTCTCGCGATTTGAATGAGTACGTTTGTTTCGAGAAAGTAGGGTTTCTGGATACCAGCAGCTATCAAATTACCAGACTGGAGATCAGTTAGTTGCAATGTGAAGAGTGATAAGGAGAGAATTCTAATGCTAACAGACAGGATTTCAGAACTAAGTAATATATAGATAATCTAGTTTATTGATTGGTAGTGATTAAGCGCGAGGACTGAAGTGTAAGCAAAGGCGAGGAAACAAAAAAATAAGCGCGATAGAACTAAGCAATATATAGATAATTTAGTTTATTAATTGGTAGTGAAGATTATGCTTATGGACCTAAATGTAAGCGAATGAGAGGAAACAGAGATAATAGGCAAGATAGATTAAGTTAAGTGATCTGAGGAGATAGCAATAGTAACAACTAGCAGGTCTCAAGACTTGCATCAGGCACAGTTGTCCATGAGGGAGAAGATAATCCGTTTGTGAGTAAGTGTTCATCAAGTATCTTCTTAAAGCTGTCCACTGAGGGGACTGTGATCACCTCCGCTGGCATAGTATTCCAAGTTGCAACCACTCTTAATTATAAAAAGTGTACACGAACATGAGTATTCGCTCCTTGATGGACAATCTTTCGAGGATTGCCTTGAGGGCAGTGTTGGCGATGCATCGGCAAGATGCTACTAATGATTTTAGTTTGGCTGGACATTTGTTTATTATATGTCGTATATGTAATAAAAGGACTGATTTAGTCACGTTTACGGCTATTTAACCAACATCACTAATATTTATAACTGAGGCATGGACCACCAGTAATAATTCTGATCTAAATATATCTCTTGAAAACTATGATCTAGTTCTAAGTGATAGGTTGCAAGCACAGCATCTCATTTCTAATGCTGTATATGTTGGAAAGATGTTCCCAGGCAGTGATCATAATATCGTCATATGCAGTCCTGATATAGTAGCCATAACTATAAAATGTAAATCCACTACACTTCGTAGGGACCTTAGTAGGATTTATTGGGCAAACTTCTGGAATCGCTTCAGAAGCATTGACTGTACTAATCACATCACCGTAAACAATACAGACGAACTAACAAGTGTATTTTATTCCAACACCAATAATATCTTCAATAAATTAGCGCCCTCAGGATCCTGGAAACCCAGAATTTCTAAGGGCTTATATATGCCAGGTCATATATGAAAACTTCTTTGAAGACATGCTTCCAAGCTTCATAAACTTTATGACTTCTCCTCATTAGTATCGATGACAGAAATGTGTCGAGGCAGAGATAATACTAACTAAAAAAGCAATTGCACAGGAAAAACATGCTTTCGAGCTGAATAATGAATCCTCTGCACTTGTAAAATCATTTGAAATAAACTTAAATGCTCTAAAATGAAAAGAGGGAGAGTACTTCTTTAGGACAACCAAGAGCATGAAGACCCTGAAGGTATCACAGAGCTGTTTAGCGAACCTGTCTGTGCCTAATTAGCAAATGAAAAACCTGTAATGGAACACTTTTTCGAAGAAAACGCAATTAATGAAAAGAAAACATTTATTACTGTACTCGTTTTGTTTAAGTGAAGTAAAAACACCTACTTATTCGACACCTCTTTTTGCGTTGCTGCCATCATACGTTACATGCTGCTATTTATGTCGTCAACTTTCTCCTTCAAATATATTCTTTACCCTGGATTTACTTCTGATCAATGGGACGGGATCGTAATGAGTATTTAGTGGTGACCATAGTCCATCTCGACTCGGTCACCATTAAAAACCAAAAAATGAATCACAGCTAACCCGAATGCCTTCCTGTAAAATCACCAGAGTAGACTTCAGTGTACAAAATATTTCTAAGGTGGTTAGTACACTGTAACACTGCTGCATTGAAGGACCAGATGGTATCCTATCCGGCCTGCTGAAAAATGGGAGCAATGATCTCTGTGTTATTCACCTTAAACTATTTGTTATGTCCCTTTCTACAGTGTTTACCTAATAATTGGAAGATTACACATATCATGCCCACAATTAAATTTGGGCCTACAGTGAATGTTGAAAACTACCGACTAATAAACATTACCTCAGTAGTATCTAGGGTGATGGAGAAAGTAGTAAAGTAAGCGTTAATAAAACACCTACTTAATAAAAATCTGATATTGACCTCACAGCATGGGTTTTTAGTGGTGATCGAGTCGAGATTGACTATGATCACTACTTAATACTCATTACTATACCATCACATTGATCAGAAGTAAACGCAGGATAAAGAATATATTTTAGAGAGAAAGTTGGTGATACAACAAGTAACAAGTTATAAATGATAAATAAATAAATCCAAGTTAAAGAATATAATTGCTGGTGATATCGTGGTGTTCAAAAGAACACCGAAATGACAACAAGAAAGTGGGCGATATAAAGAGCAGCATGTAGCGAAAAATGGCAGCAACACAAAACAGAAAGTTTGTTGGGTCATCACGATAGGCAAGCCTGAACATCACAGCCAATTTCTTAAGTACTACTTACACCATCATAAAAGTAACATAAATTCACTTTACCGCGTGACAATTTTTCGGTATTTGTTCCAGTTATTATAATCATTAATTATATGAGCTAGAGTATGTACATAGGTTGTAAATACTAATTATCATTGCTTTTAGGTTGTAAACAGTTGAAAAGAAACCACAAAATGAATCCATTTCATTCTGCTTGTTGTTATTCTTGCTTTCGTCAAATTTATCAATGGGAAAGAATGCATGAAATAAATTTCATTCCCTAACATCCCCATAAATTTAACTGGAAAACAAGAGTTACTATTTGATCTAAGCCGTAAAGTTAATGAAAGATTTTACACATGTAAAACTGCGAAATAATACATGAATTTTTTGAACTTCACTAAGTTTTGTTACTCCTATTCATAGTACACACAGAGTGATCAGTTAAAATGTTAATGAAAAACAATTAGGAAAGATTCGGTAAGCTATTGTGAAATTATACATAGTGTCGTTGGTAGTAATCCTTAGAATCAAAGCAATAGATAAAGACATGTTGCACCTACTTTTTCGATTTTATAAGTTATCATTGTTTGAACTGGGAAAATCAAATACTATAATGTTTTAAGTATGGTTTAGGTGTAAGTTCAACTGTCCTTCAGCCACACCTCAACTACCGACCGTCTCCTGTCAACCTGAATGGAAAACTGATGTAAATCCCAAAACTGATAGTGAAGTTTAACATTCTATATGCAATCCGAGGCGAGAAAGACTAGCAGGCCGTGATAGGTTAACCCCTAAGACTTTTAAGCATGTTGGTCCAGTATTGGCGGTAAGATTTTCTGTCTGTCTGTCATTGAAACGTATACCAACGAAGTACATTTACCTTATGAAAGATCTCTACTCATACACTACTGGTCGAATTAGAGCTTATGGCGAAATGTCGTCAGGACTCAACACTACTAGTGGTGTCACTCAGGGTTGTCCACTGTCTCTATTATATTATAACTTTATCATTGACGACTATTACATCATCTGACTTTTTAGGAACTCAACGTCTACCAGGATATTGATTTATTTTTGAAAGAGCTGCAAAGATGCAGAATTTACTGACACCACGCAGCAACTATGGATGCATTTTGGGGATGCGATTTTCCACGCCCGAAAGCATAATGTTGTTCCGCAACTGGTTTGCATCGACCCCTGAGCTAGTAAGAGGTAGTGACTTAGTTGAACGGTTAACCTTTTTTGAGAGTCTTATCGGTTCTGATGGCCCCGGTGTTTGATAAATCTCGACACAGATCTCGAAGGCTTGACTGGCTTTTGCCAACCTGCGTCACTTATAGCGTAGGCGAGATATCCGCCTGCTGACCGAAAGACGAGTCTACTAGGCACTAGTTGTCTCCGTCCGACTTGAGGGGTGTGAAACATGGCCACAAACAAATGAGGATGTTTGTAGGTTACTAGTATTCGATCATAGGTGTCATCAAAGCATTGTTCGTATATCCTGTGACTATCGAGTAAGCTATGTTATGAATAGTGTCCTAGTTAAGGATGTCTAATCAACTGATCAAGTGTTGGATCTTTATTAGTTGAGGTGGTTGGGACATGTGTTACGCATGCTCAACCACTGACTGCCTCAATGAGCGATGTTATGTGATGAAGGGGTAGGAGGGAAGGACGCTAGTGACGACCACATGAAACTCGGCACAAATGATTGAAGACCCTGGCAACTGGACTGAGGCATGTTAGTAGGTATAGACTACCAAGTTGGGGTCCGCAACACGATCGTGTTGGAGACCCTGAATGACATTGCTCGAAATCGCTTGCAATGGGATAAATGCATCCATTCTTAGTCTGTTCTCAATTTCTAAACTTCTGGGTTCCCCATGATCACACTTCTCTTTATTAGATTTATTTCACTGGGATATACTTCTTGAATAATATCTTCGAACCGTTTGGAACTGAAAATTCCATCTCTCTGTGCTAATGTTTTATGGCAACTCTAACTGGTGTACGTGTGTACCTAGTTTTCGTTCGTAGCTGACCGACTACTTGGACGCAGTTAGGTTGCAAACATTATTTCGGAACACAATAATTTACTTTTGATCTTCTGATCCATTTAAATGTTACATAAATTGCGGATTTTCAAAAAAATTGATGTTAGATCGTGTCTTAAATCGGGTTGATAAAAGAAGGCAATCAGAGAAATAAGTCATATTAAAATATATTCCACATAATATAAAGTTGATGCATCAGAAAAATAGAAATCTGGTTGAAATGAAAAATCCATTGATACTTGCTTTTCAGTGGGCGGGGTTACAGGATTAAGGGATATTAGGGGTGAAAAAATTCAATTGATTAGTTCATGATGGTTTATATAGTAATGTGTAGAAACAGTATTAGTGTGAAATATATAAAGTTTCTTTTTAATACGTATTTATTTATTTATTTATTCATGAATTTCAGACCTCAGTAATGAAAAAGAGGTTTGTGTGATATTACATCTGAGCTTCTTCGTAAAGCAAAGGTAATCGGTCTGAAAATTCTTTTCGTAGTTGAGATCTCGCTAGTTTCAAATTGGCAGTAAGTAAACCATTTTCCACGGTGAATGGGATCGGTGATAGGTAAACACGTTTAATCTGAAAAGAATGAGTATTAAACATTTCAATGAATTATACACATAGCATTGAAATTTTGCTGATCATTTAGATGGAAAGTTATCTACAACTATCAGCGTAAACACAAGTTTTATTTTCTGAGGAGATTAAGCCGAATATTGAATAGAAATATACTAATCGATAGTGATCTGACTGAAAACTCTAGAAACAAGTTGAGAACAGAGAAACCTTATTTGAATAGATATAGGTAGACTGTAAGTTAAGATGTCCCCAATTAATATAACTCATGAAATATTGCTTTAGGTACAATGGTTCATCATTGATATTCACGATATCATTTGTTTAGTTCATATTAATTCATTTATTATACATTGCTGTGATCGGATAGCTGTTTTTGATCAAGTCACAAATCAGATTGAAAAATTATCCAATAAGCTACGATTTGCAGCATATTTTGTCCAAACCATTCTAACTCGAAGCATTTCTTTACCAAATTAAACCTTCGAAAGATTGCCTAAACATTCCATGACGTATTTATAATTCATCGATCAAAGAATAAAATCTTAGTTGATGTGAAGCTAAACGGTCTAAAGTGTTCTGTATAGATGCATCAAAATTTTATCAAAATCGTCACAGAAATTCACACGAGGCTTGGCGGCACGAAAAAACAGAAAAATTTCTTGAAAACTAAACTTACTATCTCAAATCCTTTTAATCCTTCTTTCCTTCCCAAATTTTCCAACTCTGAAAGAATAATCTTACGTGCGGCAGATTGTGAGCATAATGCTGACGTATCTGCCGATGCAACGGAATCATTCAAGCTGCGTTTCAATAGACTGATCTCTTCTACATTACCGTTATACAACGATGAAAATTTAGAATTCGGCGTATCCAGAATACGTTTTGTCAACTCTTTAATATTTGGTACAACTACAGCTATTGGGAAATCGTAAAGTGAATTGCCATCAACAAAGATTTGTTCAATCAATGGACATAGTAGGTAGATATTTTCTAATCTCTCTGGTGCGATATATTCACCTTGTGATAATTTAAATATATTTTTACATCTGTCGACAATTTTTAAAGCACCTTCCTAGAATTCGAAGCAGCAAAAAAAAACGGTGTAAGTAAACAGAAAAAGGTACTTTAAGAAAACAGCTGCACTCTAACACATGATGTTTTGTTAAGGATGATGTGAATAATCAAAACAATAATAAAATAAAATACTGAAACGAAAATGTCAACTTAATTGATGTAATCTACAACGAGAAGTATTTGTTAAATCTCCACAGCAAAACTGACTGACTGACTGACAGGAACGATAAGGCGAAATAACTAACTGACACACTAACCTTACAAGTGCATAGAAATATCGTATTCTACAGGAAATTCTAGGTGTGGAAAAGTTAGATAAGAACGTAGTTCTATATATGATTTAAAGCAATCATATTGAAGTAGAAAAGTGGTAGTGATATAGTATAGTATAGCTAGTTTAAAGACAGAGATACTTTGGTATCACCAATTGTACCAGTTTTAAATGCTTATTAATTTGCTCTAATAATTCAATTTATCATAGATATACCTTCAGCAATTACTCCATTCAAGACTCATTAACAGACAGTTGAGAAGAGGATGTTCAGGGCATCAGCTACAGTGAATGAGTTTCAACAATACTAGACAAGAGATCACTTGATTCCAACCTAATTGGGATCTTGAAAAACCAATGTGGACACTGAATTCAGGATTGTGGAACAAACGTTTCAATTCAGTGAAACGAAGGGAGAAGAGAGGCAATATACCAGGAGAGTACAGAGGTGGAAGTACGATATCACAAGCAAAAGACTGAGACAAGTTGAGGTCTCATTGAACTATTTTAGGAATTTGAATACAGTATAGACACCCTCAGAAATTTCTATCTTCAAACCAGGTATAATCAAGAGAACTATGTATTGGTCAGTTTAGTTAGACTAATTTTCAGGATTTTATAAAACATCATTTGCCATCAGTCGGCTGAATATCTAGACAGAAATGTGATTTCCTCGAAAAAATCAGTAACTTTAGAACAAGTTGCTCCCGCATAACAGATTTATTGGTAGCATGAGAGGCTTGGTGTAGTCTAAAAGATTTAAAGCAACAGAGTATGGGTTAACTACAAGTTATCTAGATAGAAGAATGCCTAGTGTAGTCCCCCAAGAGTTCCGGGACCGGTACAATCCTTTTTATACGTAAATGATCATCTCAGTCTTTTATTATAGACGATTTCGCTACATGCCGGTGGCTTGAATTCGGAAGCTGCAGAAAAACGCTTCCAAGTGAATTATTATTAATATTAAAACGAATCAACACAACGTCCACAAACGTTGGAAACGAGACAGAAAAAACAATACCAAGCTAAGTCTTCGAAAGCACATAGAGCAGGTGACATTTTTAGCAAGGAAAGTTACTAAAAGCGGTGGATGATGTGTAAGTTGATTCAGGAAATCCAGCAATATAATTCCGAGGGAAAACCACTACGGCGTAATTTTTGAAAATAGCGCCTTCATACCTACTTCTCAATACCATAATGTTACGCAATTTCTTTGATAGTTCTCAACTTCGCTGTACTTCTATCCAAGATGATCAGTTAAATTTATTCACCTCTGATTCAGATTGATAAATGGCTCAAATTCTTTTGGATGAAATGAAAGACTTTAAATACACAACAATCATTTATGTGACGTACGTTTTTAACTTATAAACACTTATCACCACAACAGATACTAACTTCCATGATATGCTCTTATAACAGTTCCTCTGATATTAGGCGAGTGTGAACTCATTCAAGCTTTTAACAATACTTCAATGACCCAGAAAGAATTTAATCATGTTATGTTTTTGGCAATCTAAGCTCGAGTGCGAACAGTCCTTCACGATTTTATTCATTCCAGATCTTACATTTAGTAGCAGTGGGTCGACAATGCCAGCTTTATTGAACAAGAAGAAAGGGAAGACTTAATGAAGAAAAATATCTTGAATGCTCAAGAGCATGTCAACTTTCTTCTTTAAAGACTACCGAGATGTTGCTTCGACCATCTTAGCCGGTGACTTATTTCAGAATTACACCTCTCGTAAGGAGTAGCATGTGTGTTTACAGTATATTCAGCTCCGTTGTGCTCTTGATCTCTAAGTATTGTTTGCAAATTTTGTGTTCTTGTTACTGGTGGAGGCGGAAGTTGCACGAGTCAGTGGTATAAGAAAAGCTTTTAATGTCTACTAGTAACCATTGCTGCCAACTAATTGGTTGAGAAAGTTGCGATGTGACAGTAATTTTAACAATTGTCTCAGGGTAAACTGCGCTAGGTTGGATGAGAAGAATTAATTAACGAAAAGCTTTGGAATGAAGAATATAAGGCGTCTATATGTTTTTATTCCGCAACTGAGTTCATTTTCCTCTCAGAAGGACAAACAATTTTGGAAGTTTTGCGAAACTAAGCTCAATTTGCGGATAATTAACGGTCGATGAGAAATATTAGTTTGAACAAACAAATAAGCCACTAGACTAAAAATCGTTTTATTAGTCAGATAACATACTTTCGTCCAAGTACCGATATCACCAGTATGCAACCAGCCATCTTTATCAATGAGCTGTTTTGTAGTTTCTTCATCTTCGTAATAGCCTTGAGTACAATTTGGGCCTTTGATACACACCTGTAAAATTGGTAGGAAAACAAATGAAATCAAAAAGTGAAACCGTAGATTCATATCGGTGTATAAACCATCTGATATATTATCTAGGAAAAATTTGATTGTTTTCGTTGCAAACGACTATCAAACGAAGATTAACAGTACTGAACTAAAATAACTTTAATGACAAAATTCATGAATCATAGAATAAGATGCAACGAATACTTTTGACTAACAAGTAAGCGTTTGAGCATGAAGCAATTTTGAACCAACTTATATGTGCAAGATCGTTGGATCACAGCATTGTCATTCCACCGCCGATGCCAACAACAACAAGTGTGTCTCAAAAATCCACAAGTCTTTTTGAAAGGACAATTGCAAGTTATTTATATACTAGTTACTCGTTTACCAAGTACAAGTTCATGTATTCAGCATTGGGGCTAGTGATAATAAATTGATTCTCAAACGAAAGTAAGTACAGCGTATTTCGTGTTTTGCCATTTCATTGATAACAGATAAGGCTGATATACAAAGAGTAAAATAGTAAACTAACATCAAATACACGAATTTGTTCTATCAATCCATTCATTTTTCATTTATCTAAATGTGAACCATTCAGTTGGTTTGATGAATTTACCTAGGGAAAAAGTAAACCACATGGTTCTTCTATGGGGGTTCATAGTTTTAAATGTTTACTTAATGGACAGTAATTTCCTTGATCTAGAGTTATACACATTTGCTTATTGATACTGGACATAGGGAATCTTCGTAATCGTTTGAAAGGAATTTTGTATTTTTTTGAGTAAATTAGGGTGATTAGCTTAACTAGGTTAATTTATTCATAGATTAACGTGAGATGAGGATCTAATAAAAACCTGAGAGGATCGCGTTGCTCTAGCTAAAGATTCTTCACTAGTGAATGAAAACTTGACTATCACACTAGTGACTGCTATCAGTTCGCGATGGTAATTATTTTTAAATCAAACATCATATTAATGGAGCACTCTGTAGTAATAAAACATTTTATCGTTTAAACGATTACGTAACGACCAGTTTGCAGGAAGCCAATAAGGAATATCAGGTTCACAGATTTTTACGAGAAAGAACGAAACCTAATTTCTTGAATGTCACAAATTTCTTGCGCTTCATACATTTTACACTAACGAAAATGAACCAATTTTCGAAAGATTAGGCGTGAATTTCTTTGTCTAGGCCACCAATCCACTGCGTAATTTATAGATAAAGAATACTTACTTCACCCATTTTCATCTTTTCAACACTGATACCCATACAAGGTACATCTACCAGTTTGGCTGAAACTCCTGGAATAAGTGCACCTACATGATCCAGATTTTTATCGCCGAACAGTGTAATACTAACAACACCACATGATTCACTCAAACCGTAGCCAACTACTACCTATTATAAATAGTTTGAAAAAGATGTTTACATCAAAGGAATTGGTTGTGAATACAGTGGATGAGTACAGTAAGAACGAAATTCATTAGTTAAGAAATATGTCATTTCTAGTTGGTTTAATTTTTAAATAGATAGTGAGTTCACAAATATGATCGATGTGACTTTTTTCAAGGTACATGTGCATGGAACAACCCCCAAAATATAGTTGTCCTATGAGTACAAATGATAATATTCGGTTATCTAATCTATAGTATAAACAGGTTCAAATTTATATTTGATGTACTTTTTAATCCAGGAACAGACAATTCACTTTTTTCCTAATGAAACTCAAACAGGATTATTTTGAAAGGTGTTTAGATTAAATAGGTGGGGTGTGATAATTGTTCAGAAATAAGTAGTGTTCTTAGGCTAAATAATAGTACATTTGTAGGCATAGATTTTAACTGTAGATAAATTCACTGTGAGCTACTCTGTGTTAGTGAATATAGTGATTTATTCGCCTTTGTCACATTTTCAACAGATCTGATTAATTCTATCTATATTTATCCGTTGGGTTGACTGAAATGGATTATCCATTGTACAATAATAATGAATAAATCGAAAGAAATTTTCTCAGTGTTTAAGAACAACTGCATACCAATTATACGTTAAATAAGTTCATAAAATGATGCTATAATGGCAGTTATTGCAACTGATTAAATAAATGATGAAAAATTTACTACACAGTACAGACATTATTATTATGTTGCTGATATGAATAATATTTTATCGCCTAAATCGAAACCTGTTATTTTTTAAATTTTAAATAATTATGTGGGCTAGGATACGGCCTACATGCCCGAATCGAGGGAGTTGGATTTCTTAGGGGCCTACTCCTTGGGCCTTTGATCTGAAGGTCCGATCCACAATTCACCCTGTTAACTTTTATTGCTGAAAATGAAAATAATTGAACCCAATGAGTATTGTGAAAGCTATTCTATTTGGCGTATTTCCAGGAATGTTTGACAAATTACACGTTTGTTTACCATCAGGTCTCTAAAGGTAACTAGTAAAATTCCCAAGGTTCAAGTTCAGGTTATCGAAACTTATATATGTGACTAAGAGATCAGATTTTTAATTAGCAATCAGAAAATCAAATAGCGATGCCATGAATAAGTAACTTTTTTATAGCTATTAGAGACCATGACTAACTCTTTAATGTGCCTTGGTACAGTCGAAAGTTGGGAAAGTTGGCTCTCCCTCTCTAAGTTAGTAACATGCTCAAACCTGCATAGTCAGTGCAAGGGAAGTCCTACTCTGCCTTCTCGTGGCACGAATGTTGTCCACGAAATCAATAGGATGAAAAGCAAACATACGACGCTCTGACTATGTTGGTGGGTACGGAGGATCCACCTAGATTCGGAAAACCCTAATTTAAAGCCAACGATACCCATGGGTTCTAGTATTATGAGGCGATAAATGATGTGTAAGCCTATTGTTGGTTTCCAGTTGGCACGGGGTTGAAGATGTAGGTCGGGGAATGAAACCCTAAGAAAACTTACTCTCTAGGTTCCGCCGTCCGGGCCCAAACACGAATCCAATAATTTATGTGGCGGATAAATGTTACGATGCCCCGTTGTACTAATAACTCTGTGTATTCTACAACAATTTTCCGTATCTTTTAGTTAAAACACTTTTGCACTCTAAGAATATTCTTATTTAATAGTTTCCTTCAATGTGCTCTTTTCTAAATTTAGTTTACGTTGCAGCATCGCTGTAGAGCATTATTATTCGCGTGGCTTAATAGATCTGGGTTTAAATATAAATGGCAGTTATGAGGACTAATTTAAACCAGGATCATTCGGTCAGTGAAATATAAAAGTGACTAAAATTGAGGTATAATGATTAGTTTTTATGTCCCTTTTTGACATGAATGATAGGTCTGCTGAATTCTATTTGTTGAATGATTCAGTGAAACCTATCAAATTATGTGGAAACAATATTTCTTACAAACAGAAAATTGCGATTAACCCATGATTAATGAGTGTTCTAGTGCCGAAAAACATGGGATAAGCGAAAAAGAACATCCACTTACTGGACAGCCAAAAACTCCCCGAGTAAAACGTAAAATTTCACTCGTAATAGGAGCACTACCAGAGACTATCACCTTGACACGACCACCTAAAGTTCGTCTAATTTTATTGAAGAAAATAAAGTCCCAAATAGTTGAATTGTTGTAAATATTTCTGTAATAATAACAGAGATGATAACAATAGTAGTGATTACAATAATTAAGCTATGCAAGAAAAATATTTGTTTAATGGTACCGTAATAAAAAAGTTATTTGTTTCCTGGTGTTTCAGTTTTATAAAGCGAAAAAGCTGACTAACAGATTAAATAAAGGTTAAAAATGAGGCGATAAACCCTGATCTGTAATATAATATATATATATACTGAAATAATCGAGCGAGGAACCATTTACCCTGAATGATCACACTAAGTTAATTTACATAACAATAGTTAAAAAAGAACATGAGATAGATCAAGACAACTAGAACTATCAGGTGAACACAAAGAATGTGCATTAGTTTACATTACCACACAATTAGTACACAAAAGTAAAATTGTCAAAGACGATCCCAGAATAGTAGAGGTAATAACAGGTTTAGCATTAAAAGAAAAGATTAGGCATCTAAGATAAAATTCGAGAAAAAAGGGAAAACAGTTAGTATGATTTGAAAATAAAAGTGATCTAGTTTTCGCGCATGCTTCTTTAAGAAAGCACATCTTCACAATCTGAATTCGAGTTCACATCTATTATCTTATCCGACTGTCGAATCCTTCGCATACGGGTTTAACGAATTTTAGTTGTACAACTGTAGAATACTGGTAGTTTCATATGATACACAGTTTGAATATTCACGAAATCTGATAGTGAGTTGACCAATGTGAAAGCCGCAGAATAAAAGGATAGTGAAAAAATAACATTTACGGTAAACTCGGATATTAGGGAATAACACATAGTTTTGAAATCGTTAAAAGAAGAACATTTGCAGTTAGGAGCATACAATTTCGATACTAAACAGAATTCACTGGTTAAATCTGATTCCTTTTAATTTCACCAAGATGGGATGGATACTACTTACAAACAGGTTTATAAATAATATGTAATAGAACATCTCTCAGAAGTTACTTCTGAAGAGATGGTAGGATCCAAACAAATGACGCAATTTATCTTTCGAAGACCAGAAAACAAGTGAAGGAAGAAAGCTAGAAATTCGATTTCCTTATAAACGAAATCTTGAAGATAAAGAATACACATTTTGCTAGTAAACCGCAACTCATACAAATACACCGACACCGTTTGATCTAAAGTCTTCCCTATAAATACAGCTGCCGACATTTTCACAAAACTTTCATGACCCTCTAATGTTTATTAAGCAGAGCTGTGAATGCACAATCAGTTGGATATTTTGAATACAATAAAATGGAATAAACAAAATTGTGAGTAAAAGAACAAACAAACAATTACTAAGAGGACAACTATGATGAATTGCCTCAAAAACATAAACATAAGTAATTTGAATATCTCAAAGCAATAAACACCTTTACCATGAGTTTTCTATTTTACAAGAGCTAGTTATGCTTCTTTGGATAGCATTAGTGGGACATCTTGTGCTTGTGGGGGTATTTCGATTTTCATAACCGGAATACATCTCTTCCGTAGCCAGGTTTTTTTCTGTCTGGTCGGTGTCCGATAGGTCTTGTTCATAACAGATAGAATGGAGTTGAATCTTCTCACTTCAGCAACTATTCGAATAACATTCCTGGCTTTCATCAATGTCAGTACTTTCCAAGTAGCAATATCAACTACTGCTGTTGTTATCAGAAAGCGCATCAAGATCGTGATTTTCAAAGAACCTAGGCTTTGATCATCAGGCGTAACAACTCTTCTGTATGATAAAAAATTAACTTTCAGAGCACAGTTTATCTGGCTTTCGCTGCTTTGCGGAGTTTGCTTCTTCCTAAGCGTGGTTGTCAACTACATGACCAACCAACTTCCTTTACCCAGGTTTAGGATCGGCAGTAGCTAACAAAAGGGCTTTCGGATGGGTCTAAAAGCACTACAACACTGGTCTTCTGATCTTAAATTGGTTGCACCTATCAGAGCATTAACTCTAAACGAAGTGATATCATTCATCGACGCAAATAATCTTCTGAAAGTGAATAATTGAAGCTCAGAACATATTCGTCCTACAAATACTATATATCCTTCACCAATCCTGTCTGTTGTTGTATCCGGGTATGTAATTGCATTGCATTCCGGGTAGCCAACTTCCACGTTCGAATAGATTCTGTTGAGTCTTCAGTCTTATTGCTTGTACTTTGAAACGGTAACCACTAAAACTCCCAAGACGCATAGTAAGAACACGAACGACTGATGCAATCAAGATTTATTGTCTACGCAAAAATACGCCTCCAAACAAGTCCCAAAACGACATCATCATTAGGTAAAAATAGAATTTTCACAGCTGAAATCACAAACTTATCTTAGCTAGACCACCATAAATCTCCTATACTAGTAAATATATGATTTTTTACACATTGTTAACTTCTACACACATTTTATTATAACGCATATTAGGGGGAAATATACATAGGGTCACTGTAAAACCACATACTAAATTCAGTTGGCCTGAATTGATAAAGCAAATATAATTTTCAATGAAGGAAGGTTTGAATTTGTGATATTAGACTAAGTGTACACTGAGTTGTTACCGATAATATTGACTAAATTGAAAAGGCTATGTAATTTAAAAGATTATTGGTTATTTGTTGTTTTATATAAATTAACTGTGACTATTTTTCCTCTGCAGACATTAATATTATTCCCTGGTGAACTAGAGATTTTCAAACATTGAATTATGTTGACTGGATTTATATTCCCACTTTGGTTTATCGTTTATGAGAATACACTGAAATAAAAATACTTTACTGACTACTTTTGAATATTACCTGTATCCTTTACTGGTCTTTATTACTTATTAAAAAAACTCATAATCAACCATCACTCTCATTCCAATTTATAACAGTTGAAAAACGCTCACTAAACCGTACTATTTACTTCAACAGTATCCATTATGAAGTCATTCCAAGATACACTAGCAACTCTGTATCGAAACGTAGAAACATTATACTACCGTACCGTGTTGAAAATTCTAGAATGTTACCTATTTATTTGAGTAGTCACAAACCCGCTTCCATAGGGCTGCTATACTAAACGTCAAGTTTAGACATAAAGTCAAATGAATTAACACTTTATGTAGACTTGTTAAGCCTAACCTTATTTATTTGTTGTGTCTATTACGTTGAGTCACCAAAACTATCACAGGAAAACTAGAAACTCAAGTATTTCGGAAGTCAACCCATACGGACGTTTTTCTCAACTACGGTAGCAACAACCCAAGAACTCACAAAATCAACTTCATACGAACTTTGTTCAAGAGAGCGAAGACGCACTGCATCACATAAGAAGCACTAAAAAACGAGGAAAAATATCTGATGACCATCTTCTAACAAACGGGAATCCACGCTTCATCAAAAAACATCAACAGAAGCGAAATCAAGTGCAGGAACCAATAAACGGATAATCCTACCATACATAAAAGACATATCGGAGCATACAGCACCACTACTGAGGAAGAAAAACGAAATATCATCTACAAAATAAATTGCTCAGACTGTGAAACACACTATTTAGGACAAAGTGGACGGCCTCTTCAGCTTTGTTTACGTGAACACCAATTAGCAGTCAAACGCTACGAAAACTCTTCGCTTATATCAATACACACCGACAATTATGGACATACATTCGATTGAAACAATGTGGAAATACTGGATAGGGGGAGGACAAAGAACACTAGAGAATTTTTAGATACTTGATCATCAGGTCAATCAGCAATCAACAAACACATCGATATTGACCCAATTTATCAACCAATCAGGAAAACCATAGGTGACATAGAATCAAGGAACGGTTCAAGAGCGGGAGACAATCGAAACAAATGTCCGAAAAACGACAGGTTTAAGGTCAACAGTAACCAACCAAGATTGAGGTTAATAGAACGGCTTGCAGGTTAAATGTGGAGAAGTTCGAATACTTCCCTTCTATCTGAAGTTGTTCAGGAGAGCAATGAAAGCTCCACAAGCAAAACGCTCGGCTTATAGAACGAAAGTTCACCATAACCATCCACCTAAGCTAAAAATTTCCTTTACCATGTCACATAAAACTTTATGAGCAAATGGGTATTTAAATTTACTTAACTGATGTTGGAACTTCGCCTAATGCCCCTCTGGAGCTACTACTGGTCCCAAGCCCAGATGAATAAGTACGGTTGGGCATGGGATTGGCGACCCCAAACCGTAGAAAACTAATTCGCTTAAAAAAACGCTAACTGGGAAAAATAATTCCAATCATTTTAACTCTGCCCTGGGAGTTAGGTCTTCATTCAGGAGAGTTATAAAGTCTCATGATGAAACCCGAGTTTCCTCGGAAGTCATGAGACCGATGCTTCTTCGGACAACCAGAGCAAGCCTTCTTTTACGTACATGGAATGTTCGAATATTGTAGGAGACAGCGAAACTATTCCATGTTGCTGCAGAAATGAAAATATACAACCTCGAGGTGCTTGGAATCAGTGAAATGCATCCGACGCAGGTTGGACAACTAAGACTAGCTTCAGGGGAACTGCTGTTATACTCTGGTCATGAAGAAGAAAATGCTTCACATACACAAAGAGTTGTACTGATGTTGTCCAAGCAAGCACAAAAGGCACCTATATGATGGGAATCTCATGGACCCAGGATCATCAAAGCATCCTTCCAAAACAAAAAGGGTATTACAATGAAGGTCATCTAATGCTATGCATCTACCAACGGAAAAGCGAGATTCTCCGATACAACACGACATGCGCCAACCAAATCACAGTTGATGGAAATGGCTTGAAGGACGTGAAAACCTTTACATATCTGGGCAGCATCATCGACCAGCAAGGTGGATCTGATGCAGATGTGAAGGTACAGATCGGGAAAGCAAGGGCTAAATTTTTACAATTGAAGAACATTTGTGAAACATTGGTCGGCGCCCTATGCTCCATTGGGGTTAACAGGAGTAAGTAAGTAACTGATATTGGGTTAGATCATTGTTATTAATATTCTTATTGTTATTATAATAAGTGAAAATGTGTGTGGACATACATTTATAAGAAGGAGTAATCAAACACTGCAACCACGGATTATGGGGCGTGAGAAGTATAAAACCATGTTAATGGAGAGTAAGACATCAATACACCAATACAACTGTTAAAAACTGTATAAAAGTTGTGAAGAGCGGATTAATAGACTTATAGATATTAGAGGTATTCGCAAATTCAAGTAAGTCCCCACCCCTTATGAGTAAAGAAAAAATTCGTCGTAAACTTGAATTTGCCTTAGTCATTTTCAAGCCATTTTATAGCTTTGAACAGTGTGAATTTTATATAAGACAACTTGACAAGTATAGGTGTGATCGAATTTTTTGAAATTTATAACGCAAATACTTCATTTTTTAGATTAAATCAGCTTTTCATCGATAGAGAAATGCTTGAGTTCACAAAAGGTTTGCAAATTTGTTTTACAGATACACAGAAAAGTAAATGATTTGCTTATGTTTGAATGGTGTTTCTTCCTTTTGTTATTTCATTTTTACAAACAATACCTAAAAGTCATTGAAAACAAACCTAATTACAATCTTTCAATTCGAAAGGTCATGTGATATTCTTGCTTCAGATAAGAAAGCCACCCAGTGAGAATAACAACAGGTGTTATTATGGTACGGACTCAAGTATATTAAGTAAAAGAAAGACCACCAGAAGAAGAAGACCACCACTGGCCTCTATCCTGAGACATGTTTGATAACATATCACCATCACTGAGACCCCAAAAGAGGAGTCGTGAAGGACCAACAGATTTCAGTCCTGAGCAGCCTCCTTTCATACAGCGACATCATGCTATGTACTGACCACCTATGTAAACTCATCATAAATTATCAAGATTGACACCGATTGGTTACTCTGACGGCGTTGATTACATCTGACATTTCACAACTAACACATAAAAATGATGGTCACTACTAATGAAGACAATAAGGGCTGATGTGTACACTATAAACCTACGTGCTTGAGAGATTTGGAAAAGAAACTTATAAAAAATGGATCAACTAATCACTATAGATAAGATAACCAAATAGACAGCTAAAAAATTACTTTTAGGAAGCATATAAGTAGACTACAAAACGCTAATAATAAGGAAGAAACATTAAGTTAAACACTTGCATAACTGGTTTAAGGGTAGTGATAGTGTAAATTACTTACTTTTCCTGTTCTGCAACTTTCGATTCAACTGCATAATTGAATATGTTAGTTAGTAAAGGAACAGACGAGACCTTCGCCATTGTAACAGAATACAATCGAGATAAAACACGAGGAACAGTGAAAAAGTAGTGCGGTTTAACTGCTTGTAAATCGGCTAGTAATCCTTGAACATTTTTGGTCAGAAAACCGATTCTCGCGCCAACCAAAAGAGTAGATAGCTTTATGCAAAGAAAATAACGAAGTAAAAATCACAAGTGGAAGATGGAAATTGTCTGGAGATATTTATGTAGAGAAAATGTATCACACTGAAACTATATCATAAAAGGACAACCATAGTTGAAAGGTTAGTGAACCAGTAACCATGTGGCGGGGTTTGAAACTCCTTTTAGGTTTATTAGTCATTATTTATATATGCTAGAGTTATCAGTCCAAAATATTCATGATAGATGTTACAGATAGCGGAAAGGATAATTAGCAATGGTACGTTCAATTTTTTAAAGCAAAGACTATAAAACATTGAATAACTGAAAATAGTCGATATGCACATTAGTCCATGTTCAACTTTTGAGATGGAAATGATGGGTCATATTATAATTGACTCTATTCGGATATTTATGTTGATGATGAACGCCAGAAAAGTAAGATGAATTAACATGATCAATATGGTTTTTTCTACTAGAATAAATGACGCTAAGTAATTTCATCTTAATAAAAAAGTAATACCATGACAAACGAGATAATAATAGTTCCAACCGTTCGTCAGTCATAAACAACGCAGGAGATGGCTCAGATATATAATAATTCAGGCTGCTAACGGGATGAAGTTAAAAGTAAAATTACCAAAGTATTTAGAATAATGGTAGCTAAGAATGTTAAAGAAAGGGAATATGGTCTGAAGAAATGAGTTAAACATGGAAAATTAATGAAACTCAAAACCAAATAATTAATGGATCCATTTAGGTTACTGTGGCTCATTTTGAATATGATCACCAGATACTGATGACGATCAGAACACAAATTTAAACAAGGTGGTCTGCACCCAATCATAGAGCTGACACCTTCCACCGATCATGGACCACATATTTTTCAGGTCCTACCACGTCAAGCTGGTAGATTGGGAGTCAGTAAAACTAAAAGCAGAAACTCAAGGTCTGAGGGTGAAGTCGTACTGCTCACGGCAGAGATATGAGATCAGTAAAGTGTTTCACTCGCACAACCTATATGTGTAGCCATGATGCCTTACAACAGTAGGACGATGTAAAAAAGGTCGACCCTGAAAATGTCACAAATCACGATTTTCTGTGTGTAGCGGTGAGGCCTTTTGAAGCACGGAGCTAATACGTCAAAAACATCCCATCGAATGACCGTGCGCAACTGGCCTCAAACAGTTGTCCTCGTATTATTCGGTCACGCTCAGAGGACAAAGCAGCAGCAGCAGAGATTCCAGAGGAGGCAATGAAAGAAAACGTGGCAGCAACTGCAAAAATATTTAACATTCTCTTCAACAAGATTTGGGATGAAGAACAAGTACCAACAGATTGGAAAGAAGGATACCTCATCAAAATACCAAAGAAAGGCGATCTCAGCGAGTGTGAGAACTACAGAGGCATCACCACGCAGTCTTCAACAGGGTGTTGTTAAACAGAATGAAGGACTCTGTAGACGCCCAGCCTCGAGATCAACGAGCTGGAATCCGTAAGGATCGATCGTGTACAGACCAAATTGCAACATTACGCATCATTGTAGAACAGTTAATTGAACCGGTTGTTGAAGACTTTGGTTGACATGGCTAAAAGTCGTTTGCAATGATACAGGTGAATCCATTCTTTATTTTCCTCTAAATCTTACATTCCTGAATTTGTCATAATTTCTTCCGCCGATTTATATTTACTTCAGTATTATTTTTGACGCTTAATTTCTTCCATTTTTAGTAATACTGGTTTTTGCCTTGACCGGACAGTGATCAGGAAACTTGAAATGCTATACGCACGTATCAACTTCGATGTTTTGATTGACTGAGTGGTTAGTCGTTACTGAAGCGTTGTTGAATGTGTAGTAATTCGATGGGAATTAACACGAAGACTTACGGTTAAATTAACTTTACAGATTTTACCATTCAGTAACGATGCATTACCAACGTTGATGTTGTACGCAATTACGCTTTTGGTCCGTGAATAACAATCTGTTCTTCTTATAACCATTCGCAATTGCGTTTGGTTTAACAATTACTGAACAGGTACAGAATTATTCCATTTTCCATTTCCATTTACGCCTGTAACCCCCAATTGAGCATAGGCTACCCACCAGTTTTCTCCAACCAACTCTGTCCTGGACTTCCCTTTCCAATTCTGTCCAGTATTTGTTCATTCCTCTCATTTCTTTCTCTATTTCTCGGCGCAATGTGTTCCTTGGTCTTCCTCTTTTCCTTCTGCCTTGAGAGTTCAAAGTGAGGGCTTGTCTTGTGACGCAGTTAGGTGCTTTTAGCAGTGTGTGTCCTAACCACTCCACCGCTTCTTCCCCATTTCCTCCTCCACTGGAATCTGGATTGTTTTCTCCCACAGTACGTTGTTTCTGATCGTGTCTGGCCAACGAATCAGAAGTATTTTGCGTAGAATACTGTTAATAAACAATTGTATCTTCTGGATGATGGCTTCGGTAGTTCTCCAAGTTTCCGCTCCATACAGTAGAACTGTCTTCACATTTGTATTGAAAATCCTGATTTTGATTTTGGTTGAAAGTTGTTTGCAGTTCCAGTTATTAATCAACTGTAGAAATGCAGCCCTTGCTTTGCCGATCCGCGCACTCACATCTGCATCGCATCCACCTTGATTGTCGATGATGCTCCCCAGATATGTAAAGGTGTTAACGTCCTCCAGGGCATCTCCATCAAGAGTGATTTGGTTGGTGCATGTTGTGTTGCGTCGGAGACTTTTGCTTTTCCCTTCATGTATGTTGAAACCTGCAGCTGCAGAGGCTGCTGCTACACTGGTCGTCTTCCCTTGCATTTGTTGTTAAGTGGGTGATAGAAGAGCTAAATCATCTGCGAAGTCCAGATCGTCCAGCTGCGTTCTAGCTGTCCACTGAATACCGTGCTTCACTCCATATGTCGACGTCCTCATAATCCAGTCGATCACCAGGAGAAAGAGAAAGGGTGAGAGTAAGCAAACTTGTCTGACACCGGTCTTCACCTAGAAAGAGTCTGTTAGATGTCCTCCGTGCACGATTTTGCAGTTGAATCCATCATAAGAATTCCGTATGATGTTAACTATTTTCTCAGGCACACCGTAGTGTCGAAGAAGCCTACATGGTGTGTTTTCCTATCAACGCTATCAAATGCTTTCTCGTAGTCGATGAAGTTGATGTGGAGTGGTGAGTTCCATTCAATTGATTGTTCCACAATGATCCGTAATGTAGCAATTTGGTCAGTACACGATCGATCCTTACGGAATCCAGCCTATTGATCTCGAAGTTGGGCGTCAACGTAGTCTTTCATTCTGTTTAACAATACCCTGTTGAAGACTTTACCTGGTATTGAGAGAAGAGTGATGCTTCTGTAGTTCTCACACTTGCTGAGATCGCCTTTCTTTGGTATTTTGATCAGGTATCCTTCCTTCCGATCTAATGGAACTTGTTCCTCATCCCAAATCTTCTTGAAGAGGATGTGAAGTATTTTCGCAGTTGCTTCTACATCTGCTTTCATTGCCTCTGCTGGAATGTTGTCTGGTCCTGCTGCTTTGCCACTCTTGATTTGTCTGATGGCCATACTGATCTCCTCAATCGTAGGTGCGCCCATATTAATTGGGTGGACTGTGGATGCTGCTTCGATTTTCGGTGAGTTCAGTGGAGCCGGTCGATCCAAGAGTTCCTTAAAGTGCTCTACCCACCTATTTCGCTGTTCTTCAGTGTTGCTGATTACTTTGCCTTCCTTGCTTTTCACTGGTCGTTCTGGTTTACGATGGTTTCCAGCGAAAATCTTTGTTGTATCGCACAATTGTCTCAAGTGTCCGTCTCTTGCAGCCTTTTCCGCCATCACTGCTACATCTTCCACATATTTTCGTTTGTCAGCTCTGATGCTCTTCTTCACGTCCCTGTTTGCTTATGTGTATGCAGCTTGTGCCTTAACTTTCTCTGCTCTTTTTCGGCTGACATTCACTGCTGCCTTCTTGTTCCTCCTTTCTTCATTTTGTTCAAGAGTATCAACAGAAATCCATTCCTTGTGATGGTGCCCCATGTGACACAGAATCTCCTGACATGTTGAAGCGAATTCGTTGAGTTTTACGGTATCCCGAAGAAAGGCCGTATTAAATTTGTGTGATGATGTCTGCCCCGTTGTCCAGTGCTTCTTGAGTTTCAGTCTTATTTTAGCGACCAGCAAGTGGTGATCTGAGGCTATGTCAGCTCCTCTCCTGGTTCTCACATCCTCCATTGTCCTGAACTTTTTGTTGATACAGATATGGTCGATTTAGTTCTGAGTAGTGTGATCCGATGAAATCCATGTAGCGTGGTGTACGCGTTTGTGCGGGAATATTGTGCCACCGATGACCAGTTTGTTGAAGGCACATAGGTTTGCGAACCTCTCACCGTTTTCGTTCCCTTCTCCTAGTCCATGTCGTCGCATAATGTCTTTATATCCAGTGTTGTCCATGCCAACCTTGTCATTCAGGTCTCCCATAAGAATCATCAAATCCTTTGGTGAGCATCTATCGACGATTGACTGCAGCCTTTCGTAGAACTGATCTTTAACGTCGTCATTGAAAGATGCATAGCATTGGATGACGTTCATTGTGATTTCCTCTTTCTTTGTTTTGAAGGATGTTTTAATGATCCTGTGTCCATGAGATTCCCATCCTATCAGTGCCTTTTGTGCTTGTTTGGACAGCATCAGTGCAACTCATTGTATATGTGAAGCAGTTTCCTCTTCATGACCAGAGTATAACAGCAGTTTCCCTGAAGCCAGTCTCAGTTCTCCTACCTGTGTCCAATGTGTTTCACTGATGCCGAGCACCTCCATGTTGTATATTTTCATTTCTGCCGCAACTTGAAATAGTCTTCCAGTCTCCAACAATGTACGAACGTTCCATGTGCTTAAAAGAATGCTTGTTCTGGTCGTCAGAAGAGGCAATGGCCCCGTGACTTCCGATGGAACTCCGATTTTATCACGCGACGTCATAATTCTTCTTCCAACTCACAGGGCAGAGTTAAAATGGTTTGAATTATTTTTTCTGGTTAGCGTTTTTTTGGCAAGTTAGTTTTTGACGGAATGGGGTCGCCAACCCCATACCCAACCCTCCGTCCCGAAAGTTCTACTGGCGGAGTTTATAGAATTATTAGACTCTGTTAATACGTTTAACCGCGATAAACAATTACCAGGATATCGAACAGAGACCTCCCTAAGGGTATCTTAACTAATGTTGATTGATTTTCAATTAACTGGTGGAATAATAAACGATAGTACCCTATCTAAGCTAAATTTATGCAAACTATCTACATAGACTACGTACACAGATGACAAAGCTACATTTCATGCATTGATTTATATCGAGGATTTTCTTCTAAACGGCTCAATTTATAAGCAAAACTTCTGTAACGACGACAAAGTACTTTTAATAATGAGAACATAATTTCTCAATAAGTTCCCAGTCCATCATTCTTGCACTATTTGGGGGAATAAAAATCTAAATAAATTTTTTTATGAAACATGAAGTTGCACAATACGCTAAAAATATTTCACTTCTGTAATATACAAAGAAACTAAAACATTAGACTTTAGAGTTCAAATAACTTACAGAAATCAACTGTTCCATTACATGAGCCAAGGGTAGATAAGATAAGTGTGAAGCATCATTATTGAAGATCTGTAAATGTATAAAATACCAGTCATATAACATAATTACAGTAAAATGGACATTGTAAGGTCGGGTATAACGAGGAAATATTGAGTGATTAGTAGACAAGATAGTGACATAGAAACGGATTTAAATAAAGGGTTCATACTTTAAAATAATTAACTAGAACTCGAGAAACAAAGCAGAAGAGTTACTTCATTTGACAGTTTAAATTCTAAACATAGATAGGAATTACATATAAAAATTGAAACTGATTACAAAAGTACTGATCTGAAACATACAAACTGCAAAATAAATCAATATGATACATTATACATTCATTAACAACTTTAGGACAGTCAAATATTTCATTATTATCCACCTGAGTAGAATAATTCAGAAACAGAAAAATGGAATAAAACAAATTGTGAGTAAAAGAACAAACAAACAATTACTAAGAGGACAACTATGATGAATTGCCTCAAAAACATAAACATAAGTAATTTGAATATCTCAAAGCAATAAACACCTTTACCATGAGTTTTCTATTTTACAAGAGCTAGTTATGCTTCTTTGGATAGCATTAGTGGGACATCTTGTGCTTGTGGGGGTATTTCGATTTTCATAACCGGAATACATCTCTTCCGTAGCCAGGTTTTTTTCTGTCTGGTCGGTGTCCGATAGGTCTTGTTCATAACAGATAGAATGGAGTTGAATCTTCTCACTTCAGCAACTATTCGAATAACATTCCTGGCTTTCATCAATGTCAGTACTTTCCAAGTAGCAATATCAACTACTGCTGTTGTTATCAGAAAGCGCATCAAGATCGTGATTTTCAAAGAACCTAGGCTTTGATCATCAGGCGTAACAACTCTTCTGTATGATAAAAAATTAACTTTCAGAGCACAGTTTATCTGGCTTTCGCTGCTTTGCGGAGTTTGCTTCTTCCTAAGCGTGGTTGTCAACTACATGACCAACCAACTTCCTTTACCCAGGTTTAGGATCGGCAGTAGCTAACAAAAGGGCTTTCGGATGGGTCTAAAAGCACTACAACACTGGTCTTCTGATCTTAAATTGGTTGCACCTATCAGAGCATTAACTCTAAACGAAGTGATATCATTCATCGACGCAAATAATCTTCTGAAAGTGAATAATTGAAGCTCAGAACATATTCGTCCTACAAATACTATATATCCTTCACCAATCCTGTCTGTTGTTGTATCCGGGTATGTAATTGCATTGCATTCCGGGTAGCCAACTTCCACGTTCGAATAGATTCTGTTGAGTCTTCAGTCTTATTGCTTGTACTTTGAAACGGTAACCACTAAAACTCCCAAGACGCATAGTAAGAACACGAACGACTGATGCAATCAAGATTTATTGTCTACGCAAAAATACGCCTCCAAACAAGTCCCAAAACGACATCATCATTAGGTAAAAATAGAATTTTCACAGCTGAAATCACAAACTTATCTTAGCTAGACCACCATAAATCTCCTATACTAGTAAATATATGATTTTTTACACATTGTTAACTTCTACACACATTTTATTATAACGCATATTAGGGGGAAATATACATAGGGTCACTGTAAAACCACATACTAAATTCAGTTGGCCTGAATTGATAAAGCAAATATAATTTTCAATGAAGGAAGGTTTGAATTTGTGATATTAGACTAAGTGTACACTGAGTTGTTACCGATAATATTGACTAAATTGAAAAGGCTATGTAATTTAAAAGATTATTGGTTATTTGTTGTTTTATATAAATTAACTGTGACTATTTTTCCTCTGCAGACATTAATATTATTCCCTGGTGAACTAGAGATTTTCAAACATTGAATTATGTTGACTGGATTTATATTCCCACTTTGGTTTATCGTTTATGAGAATACACTGAAATAAAAATACTTTACTGACTACTTTTGAATATTACCTGTATCCTTTACTGGTCTTTATTACTTATTAAAAAAACTCATAATCAACCATCACTCTCATTCCAATTTATAACAGTTGAAAAACGCTCACTAAACCGTACTATTTACTTCAACAGTATCCATTATGAAGTCATTCCAAGATACACTAGCAACTCTGTATCGAAACGTAGAAACATTATACTACCGTACCGTGTTGAAAATTCTAGAATGTTACCTATTTATTTGAGTAGTCACAAACCCGCTTCCATAGGGCTGCTATACTAAACGTCAAGTTTAGACATAAAGTCAAATGAATTAACACTTTATGTAGACTTGTTAAGCCTAACCTTATTTATTTGTTGTGTCTATTACGTTGAGTCACCAAAACTATCACAGGAAAACTAGAAACTCAAGTATTTCGGAAGTCAACCCATACGGACGTTTTTCTCAACTACGGTAGCAACAACCCAAGAACTCACAAAATCAACTTCATACGAACTTTGTTCAAGAGAGCGAAGACGCACTGCATCACATAAGAAGCACTAAAAAACGAGGAAAAATATCTGATGACCATCTTCTAACAAACGGGAATCCACGCTTCATCAAAAAACATCAACAGAAGCGAAATCAAGTGCAGGAACCAATAAACGGATAATCCTACCATACATAAAAGACATATCGGAGCATACAGCACCACTACTGAGGAAGAAAAACGAAATATCATCTACAAAATAAATTGCTCAGACTGTGAAACACACTATTTAGGACAAAGTGGACGGCCTCTTCAGCTTTGTTTACGTGAACACCAATTAGCAGTCAAACGCTACGAAAACTCTTCGCTTATATCAATACACACCGACAATTATGGACATACATTCGATTGAAACAATGTGGAAATACTGGATAGGGGGAGGACAAAGAACACTAGAGAATTTTTAGATACTTGATCATCAGGTCAATCAGCAATCAACAAACACATCGATACTGACGCAAGTCAAATGAATTAACACTTTATGTAGATTTGTTAAGCCTAGCCTTATTTATTTGTTGTGTCTATTATCACGTTGAGTTGTAGTTATTAACTTTCTTGTTTATCGGCATTTTAAATCGGATCAATAGTTTCCTAAGCAAGTGCAGCATTTCCACAACTGAAGAATAACTGGAATTCAAATCAATTTTCATCCAACTTAAAAGTCATAATTTTGAACACTGCCGTTAAAACAGTTGTAGTGTCCGGCATTGAAACGTGGAAAGCAACCACTATAATCATCGTCAAATAGTACGGGCACTTATAAACAACCTTTTATTTAAGATACTTAAGAACAATCGGGTGGAGACCATCAGTAACAATCTACTCTGGTAGAAAAAAACCCAGCTACCAGTTGAGGAGGAAATCAGTAAAGGATGCTGGAGGTGCATAGGACACACTTTCAAGAAACCATTGGATTGAATCGTAAGATGAGCTCTAACATGAAATTCTCGACGCAAAAGGAAGAGAGACAGACAAAAAACGTACGGCACCAAAAACTCGAAAAAGGAATCAAGACGATGGATAGTATTTGGTCACTACTAGAAAGGAAACCTTAAGACAGAGTTAGTTGGGGATTTCTGATTCGTGTCCGGTTTCCAAAAAGTGGCAGTGGGTCTTAGTGAGTAATTTTTTCATCGAGCCATGATATGGGATGAAATATCTAAGAATTATAGTAAAATCATAGGTAATTTTATGATGGACGTTGTACAAATTTAAAATTACTAGATCCTATAAATTTTTTTATCAGCTGAATTGACAAAAAGCCCTTAAAAGTGATCACCGATTTCTGATGAAGAATAATTCCGCGTTAATTTATCTGTTGATAAAATACGGACAGTCAATCATTTAATCAAATGATTGTAGAAGGATGTTAACACTTATTTCTTAAGCATGTTCTCGTTTAATTCAACTATTTCTTTTAAGTTGGAGAACATATAATCATCAGTGATCATTCTGGAGGAGACACTTAGCTGCTTCTGGCGTACAGTTATTTGACTACTTTACTTTTCAAGAATCACAACCAAATACTATTAGGTGTCACTGTTAGGAAAATTCACACTTCATTTGTTATTTAGAGCAAAATACTAACGTTCTAATAAACTGCAGTTTTTCAATTTTTAAGAATAGAATTACGTTAATGTAATACGTATAGCGAATTAGTTATTTCATAACTTTGTTGTTGTTTAACTTGAAACGACGAAAAGAGTAAATGACTACACTATGGATGGACAATAGATATGTTAAGAAAAATAATTCAGAATATGATGAACAGTTATTTGATAAAGGTAGAGATATTTCAATCGAAAAGGAGAAACTAGTAAATGAACTTCTAATGTAAAACACTCACGTTTCCTTCAAGTCGTTGAAATAAACTTTGAATGGTTTTCACAATACATTGATGTGTGATTTTCACTCCTTTTGGTATGCCTGCATTCAAAATAGTAATAATAGACTATAGAAACAATACATATGTATGATTACAATAATTTACAATTATTTATGTTTAAGATGTAGATGCACTCGATAATTAAAAATAAACATCTAAATTTAATACGACGAAAAAACAACAGTTGATCGATCCTCTTTTTCAATATGCACTGCACTTCTTCTTATCATTTCTCAAATTTGAAACATTATAGTCTTATTGTTATTTACCTTCGATGTCCCAGATTTACATATCAAAGAAACTTCAAGTTTGTTAATAATAATCTTAAATATTTAATTGGATAAGACATCAAAGGTTGTTGAGAAGTCGGGGGTTATCAACAGGAAACGACTAATCCAAGTACCGTTCTAGCTCGTACTCGTCAATGAGGTTTACCTAAAAGCTGGAGGGAACCTATGCTTACTACAGGATTGGAAAGCAGTTTAATCAGTTTCACATTTAGAGATATTACCATTCAGCTATTCGGGTCTACTATAGGACCTAGATTGATTACTGAATAGTAATGAGCATGCAAGACTAATATTACTAATATTAAATGCTAGAAAGCGTTGACTACAAGCCATGGCACAAATCCATGAAGTCACTGACAAGTGGACTGAGTCATGTGAGTAGGAGTATACTACCTGGTCGGGATCCACGAGATGATAGTATAGTAACCGATGGTTAGAGACCTTGAATGACATGACTCAAAACCGTTCGCAATGGCGCAGGTGCATACATTCTTTGTGTTCTCTCAAGTCCTAACCTGAATTCCTCATCACGTCTATCTTTCTCTTTCTAAATTTACCTCAATGAATTATACTTCTTGAATAATATCCTCGAACCCTAATCTCTCAGATTACTGCTAATACTTTTACTACCTCTAATACTATAGGATTTGAATTGACAATTGCATCTCTGTGCTAACGTGGTATGGCAACCTGAACTTATGTACGTACGTACAAAGTTCTACGTTCTAACCGACTGATTGACTACAAGCAAATCACAGGCTATTCTCTGAATTCATGGAATTGTTGAAGAGTAGGAGTTAGTTGGTGCCATTTATCCGCATACAAGTAATCTCTCAGAGCTGAGTATGTAACTAATTTGAATTAAATTATTTTACTCTATTTGTAATGCGGGATTATTCAAATTTTCGGTGATAAGAATTTTTCCCGGTAATGTTTTGGATTTATTGTCCTGGTCTTAAACAGCACCTTAAATATCAAGATATTTCACACAGTATGAGAATACTTATATGCTCCTTCTTATTTAGACGATGGATAGTAATAATTGTCAGATAAATTTATGTTTTTTTTCATGTCTCAGTGAAATAGATTGCGTCGAATATTAAGCGCAAACAGGACAAAAGAGAACAATATCAGAGTTTTTGAATAAAATGGTGTGGTAGAGCCATAACATTACAAATACCATATTTAAATCATAACAATAAAAAACACAAACTAATAGGGATGAAGCTATTGTTTAAAACTGTAGTACAACTGGAGACTCATCCAACATTCAAGAGATGTTTTAGTTAAGATGTCAATTGCAGAAAAAAATAACTTGAGAGTAATTCAAACTAATTTTGGGATTTATTGGCAGCATAGCAATTCCTTGGTCACCTTGGGCTGAAACTTTTCAATCTAGGGGATTTCGACCAAACAACTTGTGTAGCACTGCTTAATTTACAACTAACAAACAAATAACCGCTTATTAACTGATATATATTGGTTATTTGGACCTTCCCATCGATGTGTAGGACTAAAATTGATCAGTCTGTTTCGGTATATGTGCATCCTGTGAGGATTGCTTTGATACTATCACTAGGTTACAAGCATTTTAAACAGTGAGGGGTGGTAGCTACCTGTCGAACCCAGGACACGCGTTCCGTCCCACTGGGGACTCGTCAGCTAGATGCAGATGCATCCGTCTCTGATTAGCACGCTAATTACACGGTTAGTTTTGGAACAAATCTTTAAATAACATAGTGATGGAGAACGTTTAAAGCTAAAGAGTCAATAAACTAACCTGTACTTCCGCTTGTATAACAAACCATAAATAAACTCTCCGGTTTTGGAGTCTAAAACCCAAAAATAAATGACAGCTTTGATAAGCTGAAAAAGATACTCATATACTAATGTAATGGTGATTGAAAGGATATTACACATCAATATTGAAATTCGCTTATTTGAATTTTTTCAACAGGTGGAGTGATGAATTTTCTTGCTTAAGCATAAGTGTATGAAGGCGGCACGATAGTATTTTAGAAGTGCCGACATTGTAAATTTTAGTGTTACGTTATGTTAATGATCAAAGACGAACTGCTATGAAATCTTTAGTTATTCTCTATTAGCAAGGGTTTAAAACATTAGTTGGTGGTCATTTTGTACACGACGTAACGTTAACATTTAAGCAAAACACTAATCGACCGGTAGATCATTTCAAAGTAATAAGTCTGCTAAATGAACTTAAGATCTGATTTTCATCTGCTTCAAAGTGAGGGTAGTTATAGAGTTACTAATAACCTTGGGCTTCTGGGAGTTCCGTGAACCATATACATTCTAGTAGCGGTATGGCTAAACACCCAGTCAGAACCGAGGTACGTGATTCCGCATTTTTCAAAAAATTATGATTAGATGAAAATTTTCCGTGCGTTTTTGGCCCTCTAGACACTTTTACAAGTGATATTTTGGGACTCCCTAAACATACAGCTACTCAAATATATGCGTTCTCATTAAAGTGAACATAAATCTTGTTTGGTTCAGTAACCATGCGATAATTTTCAATGAGAAAGTATGCAGGTTTTAAAAAAATAGGAACTTTATTCTAGGTGAAGTCAGCAATAAAGCTTAATAGTACTTGTGATAACACAGACACCACCGCGTTGCAACCTTTGAATGAGAGACCTTTAAAACAACTGACTTAAATCTACTGTTACTGATGAATAATTTTAAAATAATGAGCCTCAATGGAAACAATAAACTCGAAAAGTGTACAACTGAAAACAAATCAGGATAATTTAGTAGCAAAATAAAACTCACTTCAGTGCAAATGAGCTCACCAGTACTAAACTCCTAAAATTTAAATAAACAAGTACGTAATACAAGAGATTTTCAAAAATGTCAGTCACTTCTAAGTAAACTCATGGTAAACAATTAACACGCACTGAACATCTAGATTTCAGTAGGATTGAACTATTGAATGGAAAGTTTTGAATCTTACAGAAAACAATTATTTCTAAATAACGAATGCTAGTCCATAAATCAATAGAGAGTGACTATTCTATGTAACCACTTTTGAATAATACGGATAAAGCCCCATTTTGAATAAAATTTGACTAAACCGTATATTTGACAACAGAGTTAACCACAGGAGAGAATAATATTCACAAGTGCTTCTGTACACAAATAATATTTATAACAAACTATTTTCCCGACCGTAGCTGCTACCTTGACGTGGTGGTCGGGCTTGCCTATCGTGATGACCCAACCGAGCTATACCGGCTGGAACATATGTTCCTGCAGGTCCTACCATGCCAGGCAAGTCGATTGGAGAACGATGAGACTAAAAGCAGCTACCCAAGGTCTGAGGGCGAAGTCGTACTGCTGACTACATACAGATGTGACAGCAGTAAGGTGTTTCCCTCGGACAACCAGCATCTGCAGCGATGCTGCCTTCTCACAAGGAAGCAAGGGTTAGAAAAGGTCGGCCCTAAAAATGTCACACCTCCCCTAACTCACGGATTTCCGTCTCCTTGGGTAAGGGTGCCCACTAAGGGCCTTTAAGAACGTAGTTAAACCTCTAAATACCTCTCATAAAAAGGCCGTGCGTGACCGGCCTCAAGCAGTTGTTCCTTGGGCTCTGCGGTCACGCACCAACACTAATCTATCTTCCTTTTCAGGTCCCTCAAGAAACAACCTTCCACAGTGTGGGCAGCCGGGAAGTGACAACCGCCCTCATACCCGTAACAGCACGCGAGACCAAATTGGTCAAAATCAAATCCTTCCTACGCCCCTTAGTACCTCTCTTATCTCCACGACTAACTTTTCTCACATTCATTCATCACAATGCACAGCTAATGCAGACGATACGAGTTCGCGAAACGTCGTTCCTGGTCCCCTTAAACCTCGCTCTAGACTACATGTTGGAGCATTTAATGTACGGACATTGTGTCAAATAGGGCAACAGGCTTCCTTAGCTAGGACTTTAGAATCTCGTGCCATCGATGTATGCTGCGTCTCGGAAACGCGCATACAGGATCCGAGTCGCGTCATACACTTGGCCACACCATGTCAAAATAAAGAAGCAGCTCGATTTACTCTTCGTGTATCCGGTAGCCCTGATGCTGCTTCCCGCGGTCTTGCTGGCGTAGGCATAGCATTGAGTCGTAGGGCAGAACAATTTCTCCTTGACTGGATCCCAATAGATAGTCGATTGTGCGCTGTCCGACTCAACGGGACAGTAAGGACTCGGAAAGATAGGGACAATCGCCGTTGCCTCTTCATCGTATCTGCCTATGCCCCCACTGAATGCAGTTCAGACGAGGTTAAGGATGAGTTTTACAGAAAGCTCTCGGACCTCCTCCAAAAAGCTAGGCGATCTGATATAGTAATAATGGCTGGTGACTTTAATGCTCAAGTAGGTAGACTAAGTGAGCAGGAGAGACACCTAGGTGGATGTTACGGTCTCGCGGCTCAGAGAACAGACAATGGTGACCGTCTGTTGCAAATATGCTCAGACAACCGCCTATTCTTAGAGAACACCAACTTTAGGCATAAGGAAAAGCATCTGTTGACCTGGTGACCTCCAAAGTCGTCTCAACGTTGGACTCAACTAGATCACATCGCCATCAGCCACCGATGGAGGGGTTCGATAGAGGACTGTCGCTCGTTTTGGGGGACATGTTCGGATTCAGATCATGCGCTAGTGCGAGCGCGTATTTGTTTGAAGCTTACTGGGCGTAGGAAAGACACCGTAAGAAAGCCTCTTAGGGTTTTACTTAATGATAATAAGGCGAAGAATATATTTCAGGAACAACTAGAAAGACAGTTAGGCGACCATTTAAGCGATTCCCATCCGGAAGCAGGATGGAATGATATCAAAAAGGCTGTGGAAACAGCAGTGATATCTGCTAGTAAGGTTGACCATAAGGCTAGAATGAAACCGTGGATCTCAGTAGCATCCACCGATCTGATGGATGCCCGAAAACTCATCCCACCTGGCTCTGAACATGATGAAGAACGAAGTCAACTTAGGCGCATACTTATAAAAAGCCTATGTAACGATCGCGAACAGTGGTGGGTGGCGAAAGCAAAAGCGATGGAAAAAGCAGCGGCGATCGGCAACAGTAGACAACTTTTCCGCCTTATTAAAGAAACTGGTATTAGGAATCCTAGTGTAAGTGAGACTATCTCAGAAAATGACGGGACTATTATTTATTCTCAATCCAGGAGACTGGACCGATGGGCAGAACACTTAAGGGATCAGTTCAACTGGCCTCGAGCCACTCTTCAGTTACCCACGATCTCCAGTCATCCTGAATGGCAAATCGACGTAAGTCCCCCTAGTCTTAATGAAGTTGAAAAAGCGTTAGGAAATCTGAAGCGAGGACGAGCTGCAGGTACTGATAGACTGACCCCTGAGATATTTAAGGATGGTGGTCCAGTTTTAGCAGCTAGATTGACTGAGATCTTAGGTAGAATCTGGGAATCGGACACAATCCCATCCGACTGGTCTCAATCCTTGATTGTCCCAATCTATAAGAAAGGACAAAAGTCTTCTTGTGACAATCACAGAGGAATAAGTCTAACTAACATAGTATCTAAAATATTGGCCTCAATAATACTTCGACGCTTAACGAAAGCTCGTGAAGAGCAGACTCGAGAAAACCAGTCTGGTTTTCGACCTGGACGTGGTTGTATAGACCACATCTTCACACTACGACAGGTCCTGGAACACAGACACACAATTAGGCGTCCTACAATAGTTGTTTTCCTGGACCTTAAGGTGGCATTTGACTCTGTGGATCGTGAGGTTCTGTGGCAGTGTCTGTCATTGAAAGGTGTACCAAATAAGTACATTAACCTCATACAAGCTCTCTACTCGAACACCACTGGTCGAGTGAGAGCTTATGGCGAACTGTCACCGGAATTCTCTACTTCAAGTGGTGTCCGTCAGGGATGTCCACTTTCTCCATTCTTGTTCAATTTTATCATTGACATGCTCCTAGAAATTACCTTATCCTCGTCTGAATTTTCTCGAGTAGAACTTTTACCAGGTGGCTCGCTTATTGACTTACAATATGCCGATGACATTGTCCTACTTGGTGAAGACTCTGAAAAAATGCAGAGTCTTCTGACTACCCTAAGCAACAATGCAAGCATGTTCGGGATGCGGTTTTCCCCCTCGAAGTGCAAAATGTTGCTTCAAGATTGGGTTGCATAGGCACCTGAACTAGTGATAGGGAATGAAGTAGTCGGACGTGTAGACCGCTTCACTTATCTTGGGAGTCTCATCAATGCTGATGGCCTGGTGACTGACGAAATCTCGGCACGGATACAGAAGGCTCGATTGGCTTTTGCCAACCTGCGTCACTTATGGCGTAGCCGAGATATCCGTTTGCTGACTAAAGGACGAGTGTACTGCGCAGTGGTTCGCTCCGTCTTACTTTATGGCTGTGAAACATGGCCAGTGAGAGTAGAAGATATTCGTAGGTTACTGGTTTTCGATCATAGGTGGCTTCGAAGCATTGCTCGTATATAGTGGGACAACCGAGTGAGCAACGCTGTTATTAGGAAACGGGTACTAGGTAAGAATGGCAGATCAATCGATGAAGTGGTGAAACTTCATCAGTTGAGGTGGTTGGGACATGTGTTGCGTATGCCCAACTACCGACTGCCTCGTCGAGCTTTGTTTAGTAGTGTAGGAATAGGTTGGAAGAAATCTAGGGGCGGCCAGACCAAAACATGACAGAAATCCATGAAGTCATTGACGAGTGGACTTAGCCATGTCGGTAATTGTCGACTACCTGGTTGGGGTCCACGAGATGATAATAATCGATGGCTAGAGACCTTGAATGACATGGCTCAAAATCGTTCGCAATGGCGCCAGTGCATTTATTGGTTGTGTTCTCTCAAATCCTAATCTTCTGGGTTCTTCAACACCTCTAGTTATTACTTTCTAAACTTATCTCATTGAATCATACTTCGTGAATAATATCTTCTAATCCTAACCTCTCCGATTACTTCTAATACCTTTACTACCTCTTCTACTATTGGATTTGAATTGACAACTATGTCTCTGTGCTGATGTGGTATGGCGACATGAACTGATGTACTTACGTACGAAGTTCTACGTTGCAACTGACTGACTGACTGACTGACAAACTATTTTGAAATTGCTCACCAAGTAAATAAAAAGACTACTGTATACCTTACACTAATTCCACAGCTTGTATTGTGATTTATGTTCTAAGATCCATAAGAACTTTAGTAGCTGTCATGATTTTGTATTCTATCTGATGTATCTATCACTGCGTACAGTTTAAGTGAAATACCGTAATAAACAGAAAGTAGGGATTTAATTATGAGCGACGAACACTTGTCCTATGAAACTGAAGAAAAACGAATAAATAACAGCTTACAAGTGATGTTCCAGATCGATTAGGAGGATGAATGTGTTCAGCATCCGACTTAATTATTTGTTTTTCACAGCTAAAGATCTACTACAACGGTATATAATTAATTACAGCATATGAATAATTATTTACTTGGCTAATCGGTAATATATGATAAGTAGCAATGTGACTTGATTTTTTCCAACAAGCTTGAATATATATATATATATATATATATATATATATATATATATATATATATATATATATATAAGCATTACGCCACAAAAATATCATATGAAGAATGATGTTCACTTAAGAAAACTAAGGAGACAGTGTAAATTAGCTAATCGACAACAATCAAAATTTATTCATGTAGCGTTGAATTGGGTACCTAGTAGTTTTAGCTTTCTATACCCTGCACTAATCCGTAACTTTCGACTGTTTGACCTCATTTAATGAAACAATATTCTTATAATTTGTCCAGGATGAAGAAACTTCGTTACCTAGGTACGGATGAATTTATTTACCCTTTTCTTAACCAGTATAACTTCAAATAGGTAGCAGTGAATCATGTATAGCTTTTACTGGTTCACAGAACAAACAATTGTGAAATATAAACAAACTAGGGCAGTACCCAATAGATGGTGTGACAGTCGTGAAAAAGAAAAGGTCAACAGGTAGACCGAGAATGGTAATCAAAAGAATAAAAAATGAAGAAAAAAATTACAAAAATATTTCTTTGATTTACAGCCTCAAAAAAATAACTGTAGTAAGGCGTTCTAAAAACTTAGAAGTTGATGACTACCTACTCTTAAATCTCTGTCAAATATCATAATAAATATATAATAGTGAGAATCAGTTCACTAAAAACTACAGTTACAACTGGTTGATATCTGCCAGAAAGCATGCTATCTAATTCTATGATACGAAAGTAATTAGTTAGGCTTCAATCAAAATATGAAAATACTATTGTCTCATACTAAATCAGTTAAGTCTTACAAAACATAGTTTTTTGTTATATGGTGATATTTAGCTAATATTTAATTATAAGCAGTTAGTTTTTAAGTGATTCAACTGATAAATTTATGGTCATGAAAGCCGGTCATTTGCAAGCTAGTAATAAGAAGCATCTGCCGACTAGATTAACGGACAATAAAACTAGGATTCAACATAGTAACAATAATATTAAATTTTAACCTTAATAAGAAATTTTTCGCCAGTTAGAATACACCAGTTTACTGGTAATGGCCTAAGCTCATTAGAAATTATATAGAGATAAGAACAAACAGCTAGTCATGAATAGAAAAAATAACTCGAAGTGTGTAAAAAGCAGTTGCACACTACTGATATTAAAACTAAGGTTCACTAATGGATGACTTAGTCTCATTGCTTTTTTAAAACAGGGTTGACTTATTAAATGTTACTGACGTGTTCAAAACAGAAGCGAATGAAACTCACTAAGAATTCCTCATACGTATAAATTTTCACCTTACTGTTAACTGCTGAAAAGGATGTATACTTTGTATTTGTAGACAAAGTAGGAAATAAGATAATGTGTTGTAAGGTGTCGGGCGCGGATGTGATAAGATTTTGTACCACTTCAATCGAGTCACAAAACATTATCTGGAGCTTAGCTAGATAGGAAATTAAAATTAGAACGAATAACATAAGTGTAATAAGTTTAAAAAAAACTCGGTTATCAAAATTCATATTCGGTGAAACAGGATTCAAGTGAACAATTTGTTGATTCATTGGTGGGGAAAAAGTGTATATTTAAACCACTGGTTTTCGTTATATGTATTACAGACACATTCACTGAGAATTCAAACAATGATAGGACGATATGTGTTTATCAATAATTGACATTTTCCAAAGGTCTTGTAGCTTTCTATTGTAAAACTCAGCTTCCGTAAAATCAAACGAAAAAAAAGAATTACTTTACTTATAATAGGAACGGTTCAAATGAAATCAGGAAACAGCACTTGTCATGCATGAATCATACAAGTGACTACTGAAAGACATTGGTATGTGTCTCGATTTTCATGTAAATAATATGTTTGGACAGTAGTTTTGTGTTAGAAAGTATTTTAATACCTTAAAAGAATATTACGGTATGTTTTTCAGGGGAATGCGATATTCCTGGCCTCTATAGTAAAATGATTAGATGATACGTTTTGATTGGTTCAACGTTAGTATCAGTTGTTCAATAATAATGGTATGACTATGTATTGGGGTGAATTAAAGCTGTATTAGTGAACGCCCTAAAATATTGACCTCTATTGAAGTCGATTCTCCTTACACATTTGAATAGTAATTTACTCATCAGTATTTTTATATTGCATTCACAATTAATACACTACCAGTACATACCTTAATCTAGCTTAAGCATGCTTTTAATTCCAAAATATAAGCACTAATTCCAGGCCTTTAATCCAAAGGTTTGAATACACGCTGATAATAGCATGTTTTCGACTAACCCAACGGTTAGCAACACTATCACGGACTTTAGTTTGAAGTCATACAGTCAGTGGTAGCAACTTATGTTTTCGATGTGTAGCCAATGTTCATTCATCGCATTTGTACGCAGCAATCATTGTTTTCCAATTTTCTTGACGATAATTTCGACTGAACTTCCTTTAAATATTTGCAGCCACTAGCTTAAAAGATGAGTCTTGCAACTGTGTCTATACATACATCAAATTTCACATAAATGTAACGATATACTAGATTCATTGCTCTCAAACATTGCACGATTACTGAAATTAATACCATTTCACATTGTACTGCAAATCAGAACATAGAGTTTAGAGATATTCTCTCAAAGAAACACTTATGTTTGTCGTATTCGAGTCAGTTTTGTTTGTTTGGCAATCACAGTAGCACGCATCAATATTTTTTCTACATATGAACTCAAGCTTACACGTGCCTGTAAGAACTTACACGATAGTTTTATCTTAAATCTTGATTTCGTAAATTTCTGTTTTCTGGTCTATTACATTTACCACTTTCTTGGAAACGCGGATATGGTTTTATATCTTTGTTGGAGGGGAGCTATTATAGCACCTCACCATTTATTCATTCTACTAGCTCAAACGATTGGCCATTTAAATTATGTGATAATCGTCCCGATCCTTATATTTTCGAATAATAAAGTGAACTTATACGACTCGGATTTTATAATATTAGTTGTCAGGACGGCGGTATACGAAGTTCAAGAATACACTGAATATCTAAAGCCACAACTTGATGAGGTATTTATTAACACTAACTGTGCAGTGGATTTAAGAGCTTCTCTTCTTCGAAAAGAGTCAGTGGTAACATCTAGAACTATTTGGTTGCTCTGCAGTTGAAATCTGCTGTTCCCAAACATTCATTTAATAAAAACGATGGAGTCCATTTTAACCTTTCGTTGTTTATCATGTCAACGGTACTCATCAAACATGAAGGAGTACCTGGACATTAATAAATGTATTTCAGTCTAAACCAATTTATTAATTGATTAAAAACTACGTAAATACTAGATATTTGCATCAATAAATATCTTAAATGATATTACTGCAATCTGAACGAGTTTGAAAAAACTTCAATCATTGTCATCTAGTATTTATCTAACTTAATGACTGAAATAAACCTAACATAAGGTATTAAGCTGGGTTCATGTACTGAAAAGGAATGAACTTTAAAGTAAAAACATTTAAAAACTTTTGCTCTTACTTTGTTTAAGTATGGTTAAAATAGCTTCCTCGCCTAAAGTATCATACAACGGTACAATAGTATAACCAGAGAATGTACAAGCCAGTTCAGTCATTATCCACTAACAAACAAATAGAAGAGAAGACAATGTATTTGTATCCAATGTTAGTACATAGAACAAATCTTTAACAACATTTACAACTTTTATATTAATACACAGATGCTTACTGTTTAGTAATGAACATTGAGAAAATAATGAGAGGAGCAGTGATGTGAATGGGTCAATCTGTCTTAATATTTCAAAACAGAGTGAAAAAGGAATCAGTAAGAGAATAATGAACAATATAGACATGATAAAAATGACAGGGTCGAAATATGTGATTCACTAATTATTAGCAGACAAAAAATATTGGTTAAGCAGTTAGTTCTCTTTTCAACGAATTCATTTCCAAAGTTGTATAATCGCAAATATATACTTTATTCCAATGGTAACAATTACAATAATAGTGATAATAAAAATTTCGTTAAACATGGTAGTAGTGAGGTCAATTAGATAAAAAGTATATATTAGATTAAAAGATAGCATATATTTGCGAAAAAAAACAACTTTTTGCTGAATCAATCTTTGTGTTATGTCCAAATGGACATATTTCGTTTACAAAAACAATGGGCATATCTATATGATGTTATTTGATTGAAAACGTCAATAATAGAGTTTTTTAAACAAAGATTCCTTAGATCTAGTTTATCTCATAATAAGATATTATACACCCCAAGATAAATAATGTGAACAGTTAGTCACATTACGCATTAGTGTTGCTTTTAATGTGACTACCACTTCCTTAGTCTTCATCCATTTCAATAAGCAATACAACTTCAACAATGTGACAGCCCTATTAACGAGCTATTCTGTTGCACTTAGCGCTTAAGATAATACCAGCCTAGCTTTTATGACAGTTACAAGTAGGACCTGATGTAACCATTGAGAGTGGATAAGATATAGTACGTACTCCATAATGGACGTACGATAAAAAAAAGCCCATTGTTAGATCTCGTTGACATTATTTTAAATGGTAGCTAACCAAACATACAGTTTCTGATCAATAAGTACAATTAGTGTTGCAAACCAGTCATAGCAGCAACTAGTTAGATTCATTTAGTAAATCTTTAACAATGCTTTATTCCACGTTATTGGTAATTACTAAAATATTCTCATTAGTTTGCTCTTCATTTCATTCTCATTCGTACTATATTCCCATGTTTATATAACTCTAAGCTGTTTTGCCTTCATAGTTATCAGTAGAATATTACAAGGTTGAAATATGAATGTCTGGAACACATCGCATACTGAAGTTAGAAGGAAAACGTGTAAAAGAACAATCAATTTCACGAACTATTACCGGAAAGGCATATATAATATGTATCATTTATATGCCGTAATGCAAGTAACTAACCGGTGAGCATATTTCCACTTTTGATGCATCAATTCTTCTTATTATTATTTGTTAAAACAAGAAACTGATCGATAATAATCTAGTTTCAGAGGATAAGAACAGCAATAACAACACCAAAATTGATTAAAGATTAAGTGCATTTTGTAGTGAGCATAATGAGTTAAAAACAAAAACAGTTGAATATTTATAATGAATATACATTGTTCATTCAAGAAGTAAAATATGAACAATCAACTTAATCTATTCACCTAAAATTGACAAACAAAATTTTGTTGTGACAAATAACTTAAACAGACTTGAATTTTTAACGACTGAAAGTCACAGGACAATCCTATCAAACTGATTAAAATCATTTTCGTTCAAAATTTACACTTACAACTATTTCATGATCGAATTCAACACATAACTTGAAGATTACATATAAGTCCTAATATCACAAGCGATTTCAAAAACATCAAATATTTACGAAACTAATTCCAGCTAAAAACACCGAGACGACTCAAGTTTTCATATCAGTAGAAATTTTCAGCAGATATATTCTGAAAAATTTTACGGCTAAAGAGATGGAGAATTTTATGGTAAAACAGTGAACAGAGCAAATGAATGGAACAAATATGTTGTTTTGTAGATACTGTGAACACCTTTACAGAATAATGAAGTATTTCGAAACGATATCCAAGTATTAGATTTCACCAATCGGTGCAAAAACTTATTAAAACCGTTTATTGGAATGATAAGGCACGTATCTGTCGGCAAGAGCCTATGTTGTTATCAAGATATTTTTGCTCAGAAAGGTTTATTCGACGATGATATTAGACGCATATATGTAACGGTCATGAAGTACTGAAAATACTTTACTCATAATATGATTTAATATTTAAACATTCGGTGCTAAATCAACATGCAGTATAAAACAGTTGAGTAAATTACTACAAATTATTGCCTTTGACTCACCGGAAACCAATACAGTCTAATCATAATTTCTAAACAAGAATTCCCGTTCACTGTTACACATATCCTTAGGTGAGATGTATAGCAGATTAACTGAGCAAATGACTATTCAAGTGTTTAAAGTGTCGAATGGAAACAACCGCAGTAAAGTGTTAATTTAGAGAACAGTAGGAATCAACTTATCATTGTGTCTAACCCATCTAGGTATGCGAAATACAATCACATGCTTCTTTTAAACTGTCGCCACTGCCAACTAATAAAAGAAAAAGTAAAGTTTTATCGGTTGTGAAATAACTTAGTTGAGTCGGATTTTCGTTAGTTAATTACGTCACTTTAAAGGTTTATCGACGGTAGAATAATGTTTTTGTCGGATTGTGATGAATTTGCTTGGAAGAGAACAACTATTCCATTAGAAAACAGATGCGTACTTCAGTTAAGAATAAAACAAAAACAGTCACTTTATATATTAATTTAAAATACAGTATGATGACAGTGAAACTATTACAATTGGAAAAAACACGTGAATCACGTAATAATAAGGCCTAAGAACCGATTCACATTCTTTGTTAAAATTTACTACAATTAATAACATCATTTGCCTCGCATAAAAATGTGTGGTATTTTAAAATGTTACACTATTAAGCAAAAAATTGTAACACATAGATAACAATGAAATAAAAATGATAAGTGCATGTACTAAATTATTGTGTAAACCTACAACTTAAATTTAGACATTCCAAGAAAATACATGCATAGCTCAAGTATTTTGATTCTTCAAATTAAAAATGGTAACTGTCATATGGAATGATATAATCTTTGCATTAGAATCTTCTGCGATGACAAACTGATTATTAGGTCCAGTTGAATAAGTGGATAACAGGATATTTTTTTCAACGACAGTGAAGACTGCTTTCATTTCAAAGACAAATAGCTGCACATTAGTAATATGTTGTGCAAAAAAATTAACGATGAACGACAATTGTTCACAGCATGTCACTTTTTCGAGAGACTTTGAAATCAATGGAAAAATTATGACAAATTCAGGAACTTAAGATTTAGAGGAAAACAAAGAATGGATGCACCTGTACCATTGCAAACGACTTTCAGCCATGTCACCCCAAGTCTCCAACAACGGGTTACGATCGTTAAACGGACCACAAACAAGTAATCTACACCTATTAACGTAGTCTGATCCAAGTACCAATGATTTTATGGACCGGTTCCACGTCTTGGTTTGGTCACCCCTAGCTATTTTCTAGCCTACAACTAACTCAGATAACGTCGCCCGTCAAGGTAATCGGTGTTTGGGTATATGTAACTCATATCATAATCACATCAATCACTCAACCATTAGAGTTCGAGTAGACAGCCTGTATAAGGTTAGTGTATTTCTTTGGTACATATTTCAATGACAAACACTGCCATAGAACATCACGATCGATAGAGTCAAATGCCGACTTAAAGTCCAGAAATACAACTATTTCCAGACGCCAAAATGTGTCTGTGTTCTAGGACCTGTCGACGTGCGAATATTTGGTCTGCACACACACGGACAGGTTTGAAACACGCCTGGTTTCCTCGAGTCTGCCCTTCAAGGGCTTTAGTTTGGCATCTAAGTTTTTTAAACAGTATATTAGTTAGACTGATTCCTCTCTGACTGCCACAAGAGGACTTTTCTCTTCTCTTAAAGATTAGGACCATTCAGATGGTAGTACATCCAGCTCACAGATACTAGCTAAGATCTTAGACAGTCTAACTGCTCATCGATCTCATCTACTTGATTGAGAGTGAAACGCAGTAGTAAATTACGGACCGCATCCCGAACATGCTTGCATTGTTGCTTAGGGTGGTCAGAAGACTCTGGCTGACTGACTGACCCTCGAAATGAAAAATGTTGCCTCGAGATTAGGTTGTCCAGTTTTAGCAGTTAGATTGACTGAGCCCTTAGGTAGATTTTGGGAACAGGGAGTAACTTCATCCACCTGGTCTCAATTCTTTATTGTCCCGGATTATAAAAACGGACAAATTTCCTCTTGTGACAATCACAGAGGAATCAGTCTAAATAATATAGTTTCTAAATTGTTAGCCTCTATCATACTTAGACTCTTACTAGTGCTCGTGAAGAGCATACAAGAGAACACCAGGCTGATTTTCGACCTGGACGTGGCTGTATAGACCACATTTTCAAGCTAAGACAGGTCCTGGAACACAGACACACATTTAGTCGTCCGATAATAGTTGTCTTCCTGGTCCTAAAGGCGGCATTTGACCCTGTTCATCGTGAGGACCAGTGGCAGTGTCTGTCATTAAAAAGCGTATCAAAGAAGTACATCAACCTTACAAAAGCTCTCTACTCGAACACCACTCTCCCAGTTCTTGTTTAATTTTGTCGTAGACATGCTCTTACAGTTAACTTTATCTCCGTCTGACTTTTCAGAAGTGGACCTTCTAGCAGTAGACTCGCTTATTGACCTAGAATATGCTGATGACAGTTTTATTTGGTTAAGACGCTGACAAAATGCAAAGTATTCTGACTACCCTAAGCAACAACGAGAGCATGTTCGGGATGCGGTTCTCACCCTCGAAATGCGAAATGTGGCTTCGAGATTAGGTTGTATCGGCACCTGAACTAGTGATAGGGAATGAAGTAGTTGGGCGTATAGACCGCTTCACTTATCTTGGGAGTCTTATCAGTGTTGATGGGCTGGTTGACTGACGAAATCTCAGCACGGATACAGAAGGCTCAATTGGCTTTTGATAATTTACGTCATTTATGGCGTAGGCGAGATATCCTTTTGCTGATTAAAGGACGAGTGTACTGAGCAGCAGTTCGCTCCGTTCTCTTATATGGGTGCGAAACATGGCCGATAAGAGTAGAAGATATTCGTTGGTTACTAGTATTCGATCATAAATGTCTTCGAAGCATTGCTCGAGTATCGTGGGACACCCGAGTAAGCAATGCTGCCATTTTGAAGCGAGTACTATGTACGGATGGCAGACCAATTGATGAAGTATTGAAACTTCTTCAGTTGAGGTGGTTGGAACATGTGTTGCGAATGCCCAATCATCGACTGCCTTGTCGAGCTATGTTTGTGGTGTAGGAGTATGTTGGGTGAAAGCTAGTGGCGGCCAAACCAAAGCATGGCAGAAATCCATGAAGTCACTGACAAGTGGACTGAGTCATGTTGGTAGATGTAGGCTAACTGGTTGGGGTCCGCGAGACGGAAGTCACCGATGGCTAGGGACTTTGAGCGTTATGGCTCAGAATCGTTTGCAATGGCGCAGGTGCATCCACTCTTTGTGTTCTCCTGAATCCTCATCTTCTAGATTCGTCAACACCTCTACCTTTGTCTTTCTAAACTTATCTCACTGAATTATACTTTTTGAATAATATCTTGGAGCCCTAATCTTCTCCATTAACCGTAATTCTTCTACTATCTCTATGTGTCTCCGTGCTAATGTGGTTTGGCAACATGAAGTGATGTACTTACGTAAGAAGTTCTACGTTGTGACTGGCTGACACCAATCTTACCACATTTTCACTTTCCCAAAGAAATAACCTTCCTCAATGTGAGCAAACGTCCTATCTATTTGCGAGATATTTTCGATAATAGTTGGTTTCTTTGATAACTGAACATTTGTTTGTTGTTGCCTATAGCCGCTGCCGCTCACCTCTCTCTTCTTTTGCTACCCACCACTGTTCGTGATCATTGCGTACGCTTTTATCATCTTTGCTCTTCATTATGTCAAGAGCCAAGTGGGATGAGTTTCCGAGCATCTGTCAGTTTGGTAGATGCTACTAAAACCTACTGCTTCTGCCTAACCTTTTGGTTGACCTTATCGGCTGTTTCCACAGCTTATTGGATATCATTTCAAGCTGCCTCGGGGTTGGCGTCCCCTATATGGCTGAATAACATTTTTAGTAGCTTTCAAAACATACTCTTGGCTTTGTTGTCATTAACTACAACCATAAGAAGTTTCCTTGATGCGCCTTTCTTGCGTCCAGTAAGATGAAGACAAACGAGTTTCTTGCTTGAGCATGATCTGAATCTAAACGTGTGCAGCAGAATGAACGACAGTCTTCAATAACCTCTCTATTCGCGGCTGATAGCAATGTGATCTAGTTGAGTCCAACGTTGAGACGACTTTGGGGTTCACCATGATAAAAGATGTTTAACTCATACTTAAAGTTAGTATTTGCTAGAACTAGGCGATTATCTGAGGATAGCTGAAACAGACGGTCGCCATTATCTGTTCATTGAGAGACGACAACATATGATCCACCCAGGTATCTTCCAGTTTTGTTTAGTCTACCTACGTGAGCATTGAAGTCACCTGCCATTATTACTACATCACAGTGTATAGTCATTTGACAGATGTTGTAAAGCTTTAGGTAATATTCATTTTTCACCTCTTCTGAGCGGCAATCAGTGGTCTCGTGTACTTTTACGGGTGTAAGGGCGGGCGTCACTTACGAATGTTCACACCATGGGTAGGTGTTTATTGATGAATCTGAAAAAGAGGTTGGATTAGCGTTGCTTCTTTATCCTATCTGCCTACGCTCCTACTGACTGAAGTTCACACGAGATGAAAGATAAGTTTTATGGTAACCTCTCTAACCTTCAACAAGTTAAGCGCTGTGATAAAGTAATAATGGCTGGTGACTTTCATGCTCAAGTAGGTAAACTAAGTGAAAAGGGAAAACACCTGAGTGGATCTTACAGTGTCGTGGCTCAAATATCAGATAATAGCAGCCGTCTGCTGCAGCTATCCTCAGATAATCGCCTATATCTAGCAAACACTAACTTTAAGCATAAGCAAAAACATCTTTTGACCTGCCGACTCTCAAAGCCGACTCAACGATGGACCCAACAAGACCACATGGCTTTGAGCCATCGGTGGAGAGGCTATTGAAACTGTCACTCATTCTAGAGCGACAATGCTATAGTGAAAGTGCGTATTAGCGTGCGGCTTACTGGACATAGTTCGGCATCGAAGCCTATATTTCAGACACCATATTAACTAAAATCTACTCTTTTAGAGTACCATTCTGTGCGTTGGTGTCAAACACTTCAGTCATATGGTTTATTTTTCTAACTTAGATCGATCGGAAGCATTGTTTTTCGTGGTTACTGCCCTACGTATGAAATCCGGATAGGTCATGAGTAGGCACTAATAACGTATCTCATAATAGAACGCAATGCTACCGGGCTTTCGATTGTCCAGGCTAATACTAGATCGGGTTGTGGATTATCCGTGAAATTTGGCGAATCCATAGACCTACCACTCTAAGAAAGAGATAGGTTATCCAGTAAACAAAGTTTGAGTGGGTAAACAGTTAACCGTAATTTAAGGTTCAGAGAAGCAAATAATAAAATGACATACTTGCGGTGAATTTTTCGATGAAATACCGACAAACGTATTTTCATACGAACCTCTATTTTTTAGTGCATGGAGAGCAGATCGTATGACACAGACTTTATCATTCACCTAAAGAAAAAATAGAAATGACAGTGAAGAAAAAGCTTCAGCAAAGTGAATCTGCAGAATGACAGGGAAATATCATTCCAACAAAACCTTATACTGTTTATTTGGTAAACTGAAATATCCTAAGGCAAAGAGTGGTGGTATAGAGTATGAGTTGATGCGTAACACAGAATGATTAGATTTCGAGAAATAAAATGACTTGATTCTATTAATGAGTTAGCAATTACTACTTAAGAAAAAGTGGTAGTGGTGTCTGACAGTGACTGAGAAAAGGAAAGTTATAGGCCATCAGTCATAGTTCCAACTCAAACCATAAAAATCAAAACTTATTATGGAAAATCATATCTCTCTATTATGCACCGTTATTCACAAGTTTGCGATACTCCATAAAATACTTGTGGATATTAAAATTCTTACGCATTAGCATTGAACTGACTATGCGCTTGAATCACTTTCCGAATCATAGCAGTCAGTCCGTCAGTTACGACGTAGAACTCGGTCCGTACGAACATCATTCAAGGTTCCCATACCTAGTCGACACAGAGATACAAAATTGTTACACCGAAATTCCATAGTATAGTCGTAGAACCAATATTAGTAGTAATGGAAGAGATCAGAAATCGAAGACAAGACTCAAGAAAATATAAATCAGTGGAAAAAATAGTCCGATCCTATTAACCAGTGACTTTATGGACCGGTACCATGTCTTAGTTTGGTCGCCCCTAGCAACTTTCTAGCCGATACCTTCCACAGACATCGCCCGTCCAGGTAGTCGATGTTTGGGCACACGTAACTCATGTCCTAACCACATCAACCAATAGCTGTGTTTCACAACCAACTTCGCCTGGAGCCCCTTCAGAGCTACCACCAGTCCGAAGCCTGGATAAACGTGGAACCTTGTGTCAAATAGGGTAACAGGCTTCATTAACTAGGACTCTGGAATCCCATTCCATAGACGGATGTTGCGTCTCCGAAACGAGCATACAGTATCCTAATAAAATCATTATTTTGATTTAACCTTGTACAGGTATCTGAAAGCCCTGCTGTTGTTTCTCATGGCCCAGATGATGTACATATATTATTTGGTGCTAGCCAAAACTAGATCTCTTAGACTGGATCCCGGTACAGTCGCTTATGCACTATCCGACTAAACGGGACAGTAAGGACTCGACCTATCTGCCTACGCTCCCACTAACTGCAGTTCAGAAAAGATATAAGAAGAGTTTTATGGAAACCTCTTTAACCTTCTTCAAAAAATTAGGCGCAATGAGAAAGTAATAATGCCGGTGAATTTAGGGCTCAAGTCACTAAGTCAGTCAGTTACAACGTTGGACTTCGTAAGTAAGTACATCAGTTCAGGTTGCCATAACACACTATCACAGAGAAGAAATTGTCAGTTCAAGCTCGATAAAGGTAGAGCGGTTATGGAGAAAAGTAATGCAGTGCGTTAAGCTTAGAAAGAGGTAGACAAAGGTAATGAGGAATTCAAAAGATTAGGATTTCATAGAACACAGTGAGTGGATGAACCTGTGCCATTCCAAACGGTCTTAGGCTATGTCGATCAAGGTCTCTAACCATCGGTTACTATGGTCTTGAGGACCCCAACCAGGTAGTCTACAATTACCATCACGGCTCAGTCTAGTAGTGAGTGATTTCATGGATTTGTGCCATGTTTTGGTTTGGCCGCCCCTAGCTTTCGTCCAACCTAATCCTGCACCACAAAACATTGCTCGTCGACGCAGTCGGTGAGTGGGCATACACAACACATGTCCTAACAAATGCATTGCTTACTCGATAGTCCATCCTTATTTGGTACACTTCATAAGACTAGCATAGATTACTCAATGACCTCCCTTTTTTAACTGATTACTCTTAGGTATACATTTTGAATAATATATTCGATCATTAATCTTTTTGATTATTGCTAATACTTATACTACCTCTACTAATATGATATTTGAATTGACTATTGCATCTGAGCTAATGTGTTATGGCAACTTGAACTGATGTACTTACGTACGAAGCTCTACGTAGTCACTGACTGACTGATGTTCCACACCCATAAAGTAGAATGTAGGAAGTTATTGTACAGTTAACTCGTCCTTTGGTTAGCAGGCGGATATCTCGCCTACGCCATAAATGACGCAGGTCGGCAAGATCCAATCGAGCCTTCTGGATCTGTGTGGAGACTTTGTGAGACACTGGACTATCAAGACTGATGATACTCCCAAGATAAATGAAGTGGTCGATGTGCTCAACTACTTCACTCCGCTGCTGATGCTTGCATTGTTACTAAGGTGATCATGATACTGTATTTTGTCAGGACCTTCATCAAACAGGACTACATCATCTGCGTATTCTGAGTCGATAAGTGGATCTCATGGTGGACCAACCACTCAAAAGTCAGACAATGTGCCATTTTTAAAAACACGTCCATGATTTCTATTTTTAGAGGTTTATATGAAACTGAGGGTATTGGAACCGATGGTAGTTGTGAATTCACTAAGTCAGACTTCAGTTTAGTCACATTACATGACTTCTCCTATCTTTCCTTCTGTATAGTGAACTACATCGCTATTAAACATTGCCGAGCGAATCCTAACAAATACTGTTATTCGCACTATAGTTCTCCCATGTAGATGTCTACGTGGAATACAGCTAATAATACATTGTTACATGACTAACTCTAACTTGGAAATGCTATGCAGAATTCTCCAATGGTAATGGATAATTACTTAAGTCAAATATCTATGAATGGATAAATATACTTCTGGTCGCGCTTTACATGAATAAATTAGATTACTTAATAACTGTGTATCTGTTATATGGATACTAAGTGTCTCAGAAACATGCCATCAAGAATTTCGAGTTCGAAAATTATGAATAACCATATATAATTCTAAAGTAATTGGCATCTATGTTTATGTTAACTTCGTTTTTTGAAACTCGTTTACTTGTTAATGTATAGCATTTTTTATCTAACTAGAGATTTGGGAGTGTCGGTCAAAATGTGAACTAACGCGCGTTTTCAACAAGGTATGAAATAAAAATTGATACTATCAACAAAAGCTATATCAATGAAGACCTAAGATAATGATATGACACCCTTTACTTGTTTATATGTAATCCACTTGTAATCCTGATCACAGTTTTCACGCCAACCCAAACAAGCTGAATCATCTAATGTTCCAAAAACAGGAAGAAAGATTTAAAAAAACATTAGCGCATGCATGAATACTAAAAAATGAAATCCAAGAAACTGGTCATAGATGAACTAACATACAAAAAACACTGTGGATGTACTTAATAGATAACAGTTCAAGAACCACTTAAAAAGATAGGATATTGCATTTCTTTTAATACATTATTAATTTCATTCAATGAAGTTTATAAACATGCACAACACAGTTTATCTGATGTATTATAACACTTAAATGTTTTCACATTGTAAAAAGTAGAATTACAAATAATCATTACTTAGGCCTTGTCGGTTTTACAGGAGGCTTTCTTCTGCATGTATATACTAGTCGACAGCTCATATTGATTAATACTACTGTAAATGATAGAAACACGATGGTATGCAGAATATAGTCGTAACATTATAAAGGCAAGAAATAATTTCACAGGATGATACAGTGTGTTTTCTTCTAACCAACTCATTTAAATAGCCAACATTATGAGTAGTTTTAAAAGGAGGATGGGCATATGCCATATACAACCCAGTCACCAAGGTTAGTAGAGATTCACGGCTTCATCCATCAAATTGGATGATATCCAACACCGAACTTCAAAACTTATACTCAAATGTCTCATCTTACATAAGGAAAGCTTACAGGAAGTCTAATACCATACTACCAAACTAGGTAATCGGAATACACATCACTTTGTAAATACAACTGTTTGTTTATAGTGAGAATTATTAATCATTTACATTGGTAGAAAGGGGCACCTTAAAATTTACCCACCACATAAATCATTGGACTAGGACATTGGGCTAGGATACTGCCCGGACGGCCGAACCTAGAGAGATGGTTTTCTTGGGGGGTCACTGCCCGAGTCTTGGACCTATATGTTCAACCCACAAGGCAATGGAACAACGTCGGAAGATGCAAACCCGTGGTAACCGGAAACCAACAATAGGTTTAGACGTCATTTTTCGCCTCATAATACTAGAACCCATGTGCACCGTTGGTTTGAAATTAGGGTTTTCCGACTCCTCTATGTAGATCCTCCATACCCACCAACTCGGTCAGAGCGACGCATATCCGCTTTCGTGGACAACATCCGTGCCACGAGAAGGCAGAGTAGAACTTCCCTTGCAGTGACTTTGCAGGTGTGATCATGCCGGAGGATTTAGAAAGCGCCAAGTCTCCTGACTCTCGATAGTATCAGGACACTTTGGGTCTTATAGTGAGGATTAGCTAATAGTATTTAAGGGCTGGAATAAATTACTTACTTGAAAAATTCAACCCAGATAGAAAAACTTCACAAACAGTGGATAGATTGGCACATATGTCTGGAATAGTATCATTAACAATGCATGTGCGAGTGTTTCCCTGTAAAAAAGAAATCATGAACGAAAAGCGAGAGTTTATAAGAAAACCTTTTGCGGATTCAATCATTTCTGAAAATTTTTTTCATACTAGTATCATGAAATGATCAGTGACATGGAATTTTCGTTTCTAACACAAAGTATTTCCCGACTTTTACAAATAAATACATTTAGTCACTTCATTCAACTAACTGGTACTTGCCATTTTTCTAGGAGACTACTTGAGATAACTTTCATGATAATAAAATCTGAAACCGTTGTCTCTAAAAATTTTCAACGCACAAGGGCAATCAAAATTAACGCTTTGCACTCAGCACGGCAGAACCTATGAAAATCAAAAATATATTCTCAAAACGAACACGATTCAATGTTGCCGAAAGAAATCAGCATTAGTCTGTGCCTAATTGTGCAAACAGGTCATGGCTTTGCACCAGGACTTGGAAAAACCTAGTCTAAGATAGAGAATCAAACTTTCCAGTGACTCAAAGTTTGCATATCCTCTCAGATTCTTTCGGCTGATGAGGAAAACAGCTACCGGATCTTAGATTTTCAAAATTACTTGCTTAGATGAAAAAAAGACATGCCTAAGGATGTTTATCTACAAAGACAGGATAACCAGTGCTTTAGCCACAGGTGAAATTACACAATACGAGGTTACCAATCAATCAATCAATCGACAGCAACGTAGAACTTCGTTTGTACATACATCAGTTCAAGTTGCCATACGACATTAGCACAGAAACAATGGTCAATTCGAATCCCATAGTAGTAGAGGTAGTAAAAATATTAGTTGTAATAGGAGAGATTAGGGTACCGCAGAAAAGTAAACACAAAGCACCAAAACAATTAGGTAAACCTACTTCACAATCGATAGCTGCAGACTGTTTATTCAGGAAGCGGTCAAAAGGGAAAACAACTTTATTTGATGTGCGTTTGTAAGTATATAATCCCATAACAACAATCGCAGTAGCAATAATTACATATAGCATCCTCAAAGTGCCTAGTAAAATTTAAAAAATCCCAATAACTACTGAGATGCATTAGGGAAGTACTAATTCTCCAAAAACTTTACCGTAAAACAAAAGACAGTATTATACCACCAATGTATATGGCTAACTCGCCATATAGAACTCATATATATTACCTGAACAACGATAAAATGGCAAGATCTATAAAAAATTAACCAAATGACTACAAAACATCCATTCGTAAAATAACATAATTTACGTTCATTCTAAATATTGTGTGGACGAATTCCCCGCTATACAGTCGAGGTCAAAGAGGAAAATACACATTCCCCTTTTATTCACGCGCTTATCGCTTCCATTTTCCGAGATTTCACTCTAGTCTCCTTTCTTTGTTTCCTTGTACATATTTACGGTTACTAAATGTAGTTGTGATGTTCGTATTAAATCCAAAACACATAGTTTAGTTATCTTATTTTTAGTCGAGAAGCTTGTTTAGTTTGCCAATTAACAATCGAAGGAAGGACTCAAAAGAAATCCTTCCAAGCAATCCGATGAGATGGTATGACTCGTTCCAGGTATCACTGATAAGATTTACAGCAATCGCAAATAACCAGATGGTAACCGACGCAAGTAAGCAGAAGTGAAATACTTTACTTAAAAATTACCTATGGACACCCTGATTAATTCGATTTCGATCTAAATACAATTTCTGATACATTGACAACTAGAATATGGTTGTCAGTAATATGACATTATTAATTCATTAATGACAGTTAACACCTGTAAAATACAACTTTTTAACAAATTTGATAAATTCTACGTGTTTTCGACGTCATGCTAAGGCGTAACGTTTAGGACGTCATGCAAAAAACAATACTAAAATATGAAAATTAGCTTTTCTAAAGGTATGCCCATCCCCGTAAAAGCTCACAGTTAAGATAGACTCAAATGAGCGCTTGAAGCTGAAACACAAACAGGTGGTGCATGCAAACAAAATAGTTTCAGTTTCAGTTAACGAGAATAAAGCCCCGTCATTTCAAGTTTATCCATGCAAAATGTTGTGAAATAAAGTTAAGTCTCATGCTTGAAAGTGTTCATCAATGCAACTATTCAGCTAATGCCTACAGAAATCGAACACACTATAAGAAAAACGTAATTCAATATAAAATTCACTGGCAAGTATAACCAAACTGATCTCTAGGAGCGCGTTTCTTGATGTTTCGGCAGAATTCAAAGTGCTTCCAAAAAGCCAATAAATGATACTGCGGCCTATAGACTGCATTATTTCTAATAAGCAGGTAATATTTTTTTAAGTACAAAGTCACGGGGTTTGGGTGAAATCATTTATTCCAAGAAATACAGATGTTGGATGCAAGTAAATATCGAACTACCAGAAAGGATATTACTGAGTAGAAATACGGAAGGCGGTATACAGAAAACCCTAATGCCAGTAAAAGACGTAAAAAAGCAGAAAAATGAGACGACAAAACGTTGAATATAAAAATACCATTGCGTTTGTTCATATTTTATCTGGTTAAGCCTTTCGCTTAACTGATTCAACTGAGTTATTTGTATAGCAATGACTTATCTGTACCATCGACTTTGATTATTATCTGGTTCGCATGAACACGTATGACTGAATGCTGCTGACCTCCTACGTACATATTCATCATACTCGCTTTATTTGGTAGCCTTTTCAGTACTCGCCCATTTTCCTATTTATAAATATATGTACATTTTAATCTTAATCATTCATTCACCAAGCCCAATAGCAATCGCATACTGATTTTTCCTCTGTGTGCTTGTTGTTTGTTGGTGTATATCTGCTGTGCCATATAAGCTTATTCAACACTACGTATTCCTGATATAATTTATGAAACCGTGAGACCTGAGCATTATACAAAGTCTGGGGACAAATCGAATAGGGATCCTCACGAAATAAGTGAGGCTCCGGCCACTAGAAACTTCAAAGCGGTCCAATAATCCGACTGTAGTCGAGAGAATTCCGAACCTTCTCTCTTTGGCTTAGGATATTTTGACTCTTGTGGTTGCTATGCTTTTGCAATGCATTTGTGTTGGAGTGATCACGCGTACTCAATTTGATGTATTTCATGATTGAATCACCTCTAGTTCTCCTTTACCTAAGCAGGCGTAGATCCAAGTCTTTGAGTATGGCTTCAGAAGGCTTATATTTCAAAGCTGCCGGCCACTTAGTTACTTGTCTCAGCACTCGATACAAGTGATTGCCTATATAAGGAGATTGACTGCAACGACATTGTCAACTTAAAAGTGTATCCCTGCGTATATTTTTATGGGATTTATGGACGATTCTGTAGCGATCACATCAGGTTTTCGTATGTGGTAAAGATATTTTGGCAAATTGTATATTTGTATTTTGTATTAGACTGGTGCCAATATAATATAAATTATTATTAGCACGATTTGCCTCTGAAACAACAAATTTCTCACTTTTCAACAGCTAACACATACTTGACGGAGACATACATTTCTAAATACTATATACTGGCCCTCAGCATTTGACGTCTTGAACACTGAGGTATAAAAATTCTTGAATCCATAGTTTAAACAAATTATTCGGCAGATATTATTTCCCTGATATCCAGAGCGTACACAACCTCTAGAATCTATCAATCACCTTCATTGACATTGAGATTTAGCAAAAATATTTCGACGACTCAACCGAGTTCTATTGGCTGAAACACTAGCACACCAGCAAGGTCGATTAAAAAACAATAAGACCAAAGGCAGAAATTCAAGGTCTGAAGACGAAGTCATACTGCTGATTGTAGAGAAATACAACAGTAAAGTATTTCCGTCGGAAAACCAGCACCTACAGCGATGCCGTCAACTATTTCAACTTAGTAGGACATTTGTTTGATGTGTCTTATCAACGCCCTCACGATCTGTACTAAAACATTAGATATTCATGATTGCGTCTCTATATGAACCACCATTTATGATAATATCTGAAAGATGGACCACTTGTAATATTTCTGATTCAAGTACACCTACTGAGAACTGTGATCTATTTCGAAGTGATTGGTCACAAGGACAAAGAGGAAGATGTCCCATATATGCCCACTCTAACCTGAAATCACTCTTATGTGATGTACCAGAATTGAATAAACTACAAGATTCCGCGTGCATCTCTCTGAAACCTTTAAAGTTAGTTTCCTTACTATTTGGTTAAGATAGAAACAATTCCCAATTATATTAGAAAGCATCAAGGCTATGCAAATAGTCACTTATACCTATTATCATCTTAAATTTACATTAATATCAGTGGTCTTTGAATAATTGACATTTGTTTTGACATAGAAGTACTGAATGTAACTGTGTTCTTTTATCTTTAAAGTTTATTTCTTCAAGACAAAAACATTTCAACTTGTTAAACGAAATTATAAAAATCAAAGAATGGGACGACTAAAACATCGTATTATTTAAAGTGATCAAACAATCCGAATAAGTGGGAAACAGAGAATTGAAAAAGATTCGGAGACAACAGTAAAATGATGAACCTGTTCACCAATTATCACAAAACAAGGAATCACCATTATGAGTAACACATAGCTGCAAAGACTGGTTATTTATTTACGTAAGCCAACAAAAATTGTTATTTTAGTCGGCCAACTTATTGATCAAAGCCCTAATATTTGAAAAGATTAGGGTTAAACTACACAAATACAAATATAATTAAAGTGAGATGAAACATTTGACTTAAATTTCAATGTTGATTACCATTAAAAGTAGCATCCATACAGTAGTAGAATGCTACGCAATGCATAGGATTCGGTTGGGTTAGAAGTTATTGAACGAACCATGAACCACAGACCTTACTTTGATTACTGACGGTTAAGAACACATAGTTAACTCATCAAATTTTGTTGCCCGCATATAATTAACACATTCATAGTAAGTCCGTTCATTTTCCATAGTAAATTAGTGACTCAGCCGTTTTTCGCTAACTGACTATTAGAACATGTCACTGATTGGATTATGATTTTAAATTATATTAGGAATAATCTGATATCATAGATAATGAGATATTAATTAATAATTTAACCTGAAGTTAAGCGATGTTTTTTATGAACACTGACTACCTCAACGAGCAATGCTGTCTTATCTAAAGGTATGCTAATGGAAAGATAAAGGCGTCGTATCCAAAACATTCCAGAAATCTATGAATTCATTGCCAACTGGACTGAGCCGTGTCGGCAGATGTAGACTACCTGGTTGAGGTCCGTGAGACAACCGTAACCGGTGGTTGAAGACCTTGAATGACATTGCTCAAAATCGCTCACAGTGGTGCATGTGCATCCGTCCTTTGTTCTATATCAAGTTCTGATCTTCTGGATTCCTCACTATCGTTCTGTACTCTTTAAATTTCACTGGGACGTACTGCTCGAACCATGTGTCCGATACCTGATCTTCTCGATTACAGCCAATACTGCTACAACCTTTAAAACTACTGTGGGATTTGAAATGACACTTCTATTTATCTGTACCAGTGTGGTATGGCAACTTGAAATTATGTACGTACTTACGAAGTTCTACGATATTGCTGACTGACTGACTCAAACAATTAATTGTTACAAAGCTAATGAAACAATTCTCTCATCCGAACTCATGCAAAGGTCTTGCAATTTCCATTTATATCTCCCCAGTAACAGTGCTCTGGTTTTAAGTGTGGATATGCTTGTTCTCGCTCGAGATTTTCTCAGAGTACTCCTACTCTGTTTTTCTGTTGCAAGGTGTTTACTAGTTTGTCGGTACCGAAAATTAACGTCCAAAGCTTGTATCAAATCGGTGGGTACGGAGGATGCACCTAAGGATGTTGAGAAACCCTGATTCTAAACTAACAGTGCACAAGGGCTCCGAGATCCTAAAGAAACAAATAGCGTATAAGCATACTTCTGGTGACCGACTACTATTAGGCTGCAGCTTCTAACGTTGCATTATCTTGTGGACTAGACCTCTTGGTCAAAGGCTTCGGGAACGAC